TACAATTTCGGACGCTTTGATTTTTGATATTGTTATTTCCATAGAAAATCAATCAAAATCTTTGGACAAACGTCTGGGGCTCAACTCTTTCAAAATTTGATACTCGGCACTCGAAACGCTTCATTCAAAAATACCGAAATGTGTTCGCATGTAACGAACGAAATTGCGCATACGCCCAGTTGTACGATTATTTCTTTGCATCTGCCAATTTAATTGAGTTGCACCGAAATTGTAGCTAGATCTATTGCTGCGTGTATTTCATTTTAGCTTTTTAGCCCACTTTGCACTTATCGAACGCATGTCGAGCCCCATTTGATTTTGTATCTGCGCATTGCCTTGAGTTCGATTTGCTGTTTGCCAAACTGACCTAAAAATAAATCAAAAAATGACCAAAACTCAGCATGGCCAAGCGAGAGTTCACACCTAAAAGGCTTTGCTGCAAATTTCGGTTTTCCATGATTTATGCGGGGCGACCGTACAGGTGCCGCCGCCTAAGCCCAACCCATGCCATTACCCAGCCCAGGCTGACAACAACTACAAAGAAAATCTTGTGCCAAATTCAATGCAAATCGCATTAGGGTAAAACAAACAACAACAAAGGCAAACAAACAGCAACTTGTGCATGCCACAGATAATTTGTAACAATTTCCAAATAGCATTTAACACACACACACACACACACACACGCAACACACATTGCATTGGCACAGGGTATCTGGCAGTCGAGTGCGTTCTGCAGCTAGACGAATCGCTGTATTATAAATTACCAACACGATTTAATTAGCCTTTAGTTTATTGAGTGGCTGGCTAATAGCCCCGCTGCGCTGATTATGGCCCATTTGCATTGAGTCTGGGTTGTTGCCTTCGTCAATTGATGGCAGCTGGCGAAAGGGGGCAAAAATCTGTATAAGTAGCTATCTGCTGGCCGCACATGCAAAATAATCGCAGCCAAAATGTTTTAACTAGCTAACAAGTAAATTTCTTTGGCAAACATTCAACCGAAAAGTAAAAGTCGACACGACTTTAATCAGGTTTATGCGTGTGCCAAAAATGCCTTTGTTTAAGAATTTCCTAGGCTCAGACTTGGCTTTCACAAGCGAAATAGTTAAGGCTCAAATATTGTGTAAAAATAGGCGACAATAAAGTTATAAAAGTGCTTTAGGAAACTATCTAAAATTTCCCTTAAAGTTCGGTTAATCTCTTTTCACACTCTCTAAATATATTCCATGCCAAATCTTGTTTTCCTTTTCTTCTTCTTATTTCCCCAATACAACTCAAAGTATTAGACGGCACACATATAATTTGGCGCTCAGCTATAAAAATTATTCTCAATCAATATTTAATTATAGTATGTATTCCCTATATTACGCTTGACTATGTTTATGTGCGACTTTTTATGTTTTAGTGTGTTTTGTTTACATGTGAAAGGCAATTAAATAGGAATATCATCGCAATCTCTCAATCATTTACTTTATGGCCAACTTTAGGTTAATGGCATTTGCTAATTTATAAATAAATACAATTTGTGTTCCCTTTAACAGGTTTGTGCCTTTGCCTGCACAATATGCCAATCAAAACTGAGCTCATCCCTTGGGTATTCACGCATATGAAATAGGTACTTGATTGTTAACTATTCATACACATATTTTGGCTGTGCAATTGGCGGTTAGAGCAAAAACAAAAAACATAACAAATAAACTTCAATATCTAATTGCGCATTAATCAAACAGAAAGTCTGTTAAGCTCAACATATGCAAAAAATACATTAGTGGGCGAGTCGTGGCCACAAGTTGAGTTTCGAGTGGAAATTGTACTTTTGGCCAATGCGCGGCGCGATTGGGCAGCGCTTTCAAGTTCAATGCAATGGGAAAATTTCAATTAACAAAATGATGAGAAGGCGAAAAAAAGGCAGCTACGAAATTGGCCACTTGAAAGTGAGTCGCCGGCAGAGTCAAGAGTTAAACGGAGGAAGCGGCAGATACGTTTGCAGATACGTTGAGGCAACAAGATACAGATACAGGCGTCTTGTCAAAGCCAAGCCTAATGGCTTTTTTGCGTTTCATTGAAGAGATCGTCAGACGCCATACAATTTCTTACAATTTGGCAGCTTGTTGAAAGTGAAAAGTGTGAAAATGGCTAATTAAATGCACGGATAAGTTGAGCACACAGCTTCAACGTTTGTGCCTTTTAACTCTGAAAGAAATTATCTATATGCATATATATGTATATAAAAGAGATTTTGATTCGCTTTTGGTCACGTTCGTTGGAATTTCTCTCGCACGCCTGCTAATTATGAAAATTTCATGGCATAGGCCAAGTTTGTTGTTCGAGTCTTTTGTTTCAGCTCTTTGAATTCTACATGCGCTGCCCACAAGCAGACCAACCTGGCGTATGATTGCTCTAAGCTTAGTTTTTTTTTTTTGCTTCTTTTGCTATTATTAGCGCTTTGGGCTTTAAATGGTTAACACAAAATGCGCAGCAGCACGTAGCTGTAATTACGCGCCAAGTTTGTTGCCTAAGTCTTTTGTTTCCGTAGCGTTCGTTTATTTGCTTAAATTAAGCAAAAAGCAGCCAAATGAATGATGATGCCTCCAATTTAATTAGACTTTGCAATGGTTCCTTTAATACGGCATTTATTTGTGAACCGTTCATGGCACAGAGTTCCAGTTTCGGTTCAGCTATAGGAAATACTTTAAAAACATTTTCTAAGATTTGCCTTCATCTGTTATTTATGGCCAAGCCGTTGAGCTTTTGTGTTCAGCTTCTAAAGCCATCTTATTTCACAAAATGTTGAAAAAGTCTGCGGCATATTGATTAATTAGTAGCTCGACGTTCCCAAGTATGCCCAATCAAAGAAAAATTTGCTAAAGGGAATTTCGATTACATGTGCCTGTATTAAAACCGGTTACGACTTTGAATTGAATTTAGACAGCAACTAACTAGAATATGATTAGAAATGATATGACAAATGTGACCAAACGAAATTCTAGCACAGCCATAAAACAGGTTTTTAATTTCGGCCATCGTTGCGAAAATGATACAAGCCATTTCGAATTGAGAAAGATTTGTTTTAATCATGTCTACGGCACGCCACAAATAACAATCTTAGTCCAGTTTTGCCAATAGTTTGTTAAACTATGCAATTGGGTCTCCAGCTGCATAACTAAAAAAAAAAGAGTTCATTGACTTTGCTATTGCCGTTTGGCATTTTGTTGCGCTCAAAGTTTCTAACTGTTACCAAGTTAACAAAAACAGAAACAGGCAAGAATTCAACTTAAATACAAAAGCTGAAAAAATCGATGGAACTTAGAATTTAGCTTATGTAAAATGGATAACCAAAAGAATACCCAAAGTTGGAAGTGCGTTTCATCTAAATAGTTAACATATCTTTGATGTTCACAATATCAACATAATCTTGAAGAAAAGTTCATTATTAGCTGCCCTAATATCATTAGAGTTAAGAATTAGTAAATTATGCTTTAAAATGCCAAAGCAATACCCTGAATAAAATGTTCATAGAATTTATGAGTAAACAGTTCGAATAATATATATTCTATCTATATGCCCATATGACCATAAATAAATGTTCATTAGCAGAGCTCAAAACAAATAATTTTTACTTATTTAATTAGACTGCCAAAATATTTCAACTGCTTAATGAAGCACTCGCAAATTGTAGAGCTTTAATTATAAGAAACGTATATACGCACTTGATTTATGTATATGAGATATATGGTGCATATATATATAGTCACTTTTTTATATATATATATAAGAGATTGAGACCTTGAGACGTGTCGAGTTGTTGGGTAGCATTAGATTTCGAGGTGGGAGTCGTTGCTTGACTTTCAATTTATGAAGCCTTTCCTAATGTCCAGAGTAAACTAACTTTGCGAAAGTTAAACAAAGTAATCGCAGCAAAGTGCACAGCTGCTAGATACCCTAGAAATCTATAAATTCACATGTGTAAAAAATATGAAAAGCATGTTCTTTTTTGATATACTGCGAAATGGCCAAAATATCTCGACTTCAAAATGAACATAAATAAAATAAATATTTATACTGTATTGAACACAAATAAAAGTATATTAAATAATTATTCAAAAATTTGGGTACAAATGTGACTCTGACTTCATTTTTATACCCTATAATAATATTTGACATTGGTCTTTTGCGATCGGTATACCCTTTAGCAACGGCACATGTCTTACAGGGTATATGCAGTACTGGCAAACACAGTTGAAATAAGTACCGCATATTTGTAGTTGTTGCTTTGTTCTCTCTGAGACTCGAATACATTTGATCTTTGTTATTTGGCTTGTTGTGCCATTTGGATTGTTTCTGTTGTTGTTGTTGTTGTTGTTGCTGGTGTTGTTGTTTTTTGCGGTTGCAATGCTGAAAATAAAAGTGAACGCTGTCGTTGTTTGTGTTACAGCGGTTGGTTGCCACATTTGTCAATGTGTGTGTGTGTGTGCGCTGTTGTTGCCCGCGCACATGTATCTGACAGATATTCAATCTTCATCTTCATCAAAGCGTTCGTCAAACGTGTTTTATTGTATGAGACTTGTGCTATTTTCTGCTGCGATGCTGATTTCTGATTGCCGATTTCTTACTCGGCTTCTGCGATATCTTCGTATTTATTGTGAGTACCTTTAAGCGTTTGCCCCTTGTTTGCCGCTCAGTTGTACTTGTCATTCGCCAGGGACCGAGCCCGGGCCTGGCCAGTCACGACATCTCAACAGCCGTCGACGACAACGTCGGCGACAGCTCAAGGTCGCATTCCTGGGCACTGACGCACGCAGTCATACAATAATTCTTATTGGCAATGTTCTGTAGTTGGTTCCAAGTGATATATTATTCTGATTGGCAATTGTCAGTCGATCTATAAGGTCAGAATTTGGCAAACTGAACAAGCTGTTGCCTTTGCGACTTGCTTGAAAGCTGTTGCAAGCCATGGTTAATTCTGTGTGCAGGGTATCGCCTAGTCGGGCATAGACAATATGGTTTCGCTTTTGGCCGTGCCTGACCCTAGGCTTATCTCTTATCAGTTCGAGAAAGTTGGTGATGCCACTTTTCGTCTGGTTTTGATGTTTCAGTCTCTTTGCATGCACGTCGAATGCGGTTGAGTTCCAGATTGCAATCGAAGTGCCATCAAAATGAAACGTTTTGTGTTTCTATATATAATATATATAAGCCTGATCACAGGTGAAGCACAGGTTAACAAAAATGAGGTAAACTCAAATTATTTATTTAACATTTGTGCGGACTGCAGCAAATAAATCGTACTGTTTTATTAGCCGTCTACGGCAACCAGAATAGCGGAGGAGAAGTGCGGAAAGTACATCTACAAGGCAGTGAGACCATTATTAGAGTATATACATCAGATGACAATAACAATAAAGTTGAAGGCAACGACAGAGAAATTAAGCAGCTGCAGGAAAAACTGAACCAACACAATGAACTGGTCATCGAGGCACTTAAAGAGCTAACAAAGAACGTCTCATCGATAAAAGAGGAAGTGGGTAAACCCACTTCCAATCCCTTAAAACTTCAGAAGTATGAGGAGCAGCTGAAGAAACAAAAGAAATCAATTGATGAAAAGGACCAACAAATAGCCGAAATCAAAAACCAAGTCAACATTTGCGCCAAGAATTTGAAAAGCTACGAAGAGAAGCTTGTTTACAGTGAATGTACCGACATTGCTGACTCTCCGGGAATTCATAAGATTAAGCCGGATCAAGAAGAACCGTTCGATGTGCTGTGTGATAGTGCGACAGCAGGTCCTGGCTGGACGGTTATCCAACAGCGTATCAATGGCAAGGAGAACTTCAATAGGGACTGGAAAACATATCGTGCCGGCTTTGGTGATTTTGTAGGTGACTTTTTCTTGGGACTGGAGAATATTCATCGCTTGACGAACAGCCAACCCCATGAGCTCTACATATATATGGAAGATTTTGATGGTATCATCAAATACTACAGATATGAACAATTCACAATCGCTGGCGAGGATGATCTATACAGACTGAGAATCTCTGATAAGGCTGTGGGCAATGCAACAAAGGATGCTTTGATTTACCTCAACTATCAGCAATTCACCACATTCGATCGTGATAATGATGTAGATGTTTATGCAAATTGCGCCAAGGACTATGGCGGTGGCTGGTGGTATCGTTTTTGTATAAGAAGGTATTCATTGTTGCAGCTTAATTCAAATGATTAATGTATTTACATTTAATGTGTGGTTTTTTATTTTTATTTTCCAGCAGTTTAAATGGCAAATATTACGATTATAATACGAAGATGTCTGATGGCATACTTTGGGATGGGGAAAGCTCTTTGAAAAAAGTCAAAATGCTAATACGCCCTAAAAGTTACGAGAAATCAAATTAATCAATTTCTTTTAAAGCTGCAACAACTGTTACAAATTGTTGAATAAAACGAGAGAGTACGGAGTTTGAAGAAGGCTGAAAAGTTTTCCAAGCACAAACAAAAGAATTGCAGCATATAGTAGTGCGATCTGGATAAGATTTGGCTTAGGCAGCATTAAGAGACTAGCAAGTGCCGAGGTTGGTCAAGATATCTTAACCGATAGTACCTATGGCAGCTATATGATGTACGGGTTCCGATATGTATATCCCGCATGCAACAGAAAGCTTGGAGAACAATTAATAGAAACAGCCACTGATAGATACTGATCTAGAATACATATAAACATACATATGTATATGTGTCTCTTTCTATGTGTTGCACATATCATGACAAAATATTAGAAACCTTTTATACGGGCATAATTATCCCAACAAGAAACCAACAAAATCGATGCATATTCAAAATGTGTTCTAACATAATATGTTAAATGTGTGGTAAGATCGTGACGTCACATTCTATTGATAATGTATTAACAGAAGCAGTTCCCATGTAACTTAACAGAGTATGTTAAGCATTAATGTTAAGGGTTGCAGCAAGAATAGAACAGACAGACATACATTGGATTTTATAAAACAAGATACAAATAAACTCTATCATCCTCTCACCCACTCTCCCTGATAAGATATTGAAGCAAAGTCCACATTTATTGTCTATGCTAGTTCAGTCTCTTCTCCTAGTCTTATAGTACAGTCACACCCATCCAGCTGTTGTGTACAACTAGAAGTGTGTGTGTGGATGCGGGGAGGATGCCGGGACGGCTCTTTGAGATCCCATCTACACCTAATTTATGACGGCTCTGCTCGCAGCAACAACATTCAGAGATTCCAGAAATGCGGCAGCTACGTGCGCAACGTTGCAAAATGAAGTCACGATCGGGTCCGGGTCGAAGCTACCCATGGATAGGCGGTGCTAGGTGTGGCCAATTACGAGACAACTGCGGCAGCAACGGCTAGTGGGTTAATAGAACGCCGCCAGAAATTGTTTATGTTTCTTTTTTTAGCTTTGGCTCTGTTGGGCGAAAGACTAAAAAGCTGCCAGTTACCCTGTAAGCATGTTATATGTATTGGGATGCATAGTCAATAGGCTGTTAACACAACATTTGACTGTCGGATACCCTGTAAGCATGTTATATGTATTGGGAGGTAGAGTCAGGAGGCTGTCAAATCGGGGATGACTGCAAGATACCCTGTATACACGTTATATGTATGGGAAAGAAGAGTCAAGAGGCTGTTATACCGGGGTTTGACTGCACAGATACCCTATATGCATGTTATATGTATTGGGAGGTAGAATCATTAGATCTTTAAGATGGCACTTGACTGTCGGATACCCTGTAAGCATGTTATATATGTTGGGATGCCGAGTCAATAGGCTTTTAAGATGGCACTTGACTGTCGGATACCCTGTAAGCACGTTATATGTATTGGCAGGTAGGGTAAAAAAGCTATGTTTGACAGGCAGATACCCTGTAAAGCAATTAATTTTCGTAAATAACATTTTCTGGTTAATTAAGCGACATTTCTTAAAGCTGTGTGTTTTAGCTGCTTGTCTCTGGCTTGTCTTCAGCTCTTGTTTTTATTTTTGTTATTACATGTCTTAACTATTTGAAAGATGCCAATTTAAAGCAATTGTTAACACCGCCTAAAATAGTTGCTGCAGAGCAAAAACTAGAAATATGTTAATTTGATTTGAAGACCTTAGTGCTGTTTTTTGCACCTTTTGGTTATGAGTTCGGTTCGACAGCCCAAAGAAAATAACTTAAACTTTTACTTTCACTGCCAATATAATTTGTACGGTTGGAGGGGGCAATGGGCGCCGCAGACTCTTTGCCTCTCAATTTGCAACGGCTTACAATGTTATTGTTTTTATTTCTTGTTTTGTTGCTGTTGTTGTTGTTGTTGTTGTTGCTGTTATGTCTGACTCATTTGCAAATATATCTGGCGGCAATTTAGCGCTCAGCCCCGCCTGCTACCGCCGCCCGTTCGAGCTGTTCATGTCTGTGCATTGTCTGTTACAATGTTCAGCCCGTTGGCGTCTTCAGTTTTCAGTCTTTAGCTTAATTTCATTTTCACAACAACAATCTTTTTGTGCTACCCAGCGAATCGTCACACGTGTGTTCGCATGTGCTGCAATTTGATCGTCACGTCGAGATCTCGGCGCAGCTCGACTCCACTTCACTCAGTCCGCAACAGCAGCCAGCAAATGTTAATGATGAGCATTTGATAATAACAGCCCAGGGTTTTGAGCATCACCAAGCTGCGTCTGACTGCCTGCCAGCCTGCCTGCCTCTTTGGCCTTAACCGTTTGTTGCTGTTGTTGTTGTTGGACAGCTGCCTATAGTTGTCTGTCTAGCTGATATTTGGAAAATTGTTGTTGACTTTTGTCGGTTTTGGCGAAAGTTTTCCTAAAAACACACAAACCAAACAAAACCTCTAACAAATCGATGCGGAACTGAAGATTCTCCGGGCAGGAAAGGGAAGTCATATATCAAGAGTTTATGTTCGATTTCCAAACTTAAGGGAATATGAGTGTAAATCTCGAATTGGATTCATTTCTATTGTGATTAAGATTAATAAACGTTTTATCACACAGCATTGAAATTATTAAAAACAAACATTGGTATTTTCCAGTTAGAATTCCATTCGTTGTGCTGTTATCATGGTCAGTCAAGTGGACAAGTTTTTTAACTGCAGCTGCCGGCTGTCTATCGAGCTGGGCTGGCCAGATAGTCAAGTTAGCCTTGTTCTTAATAGTTAAACAACGTTTTTGCATAGCAGACTCGTAATTAAACGCCGCCTGCCAGCCAGTTAGCTCATAAATTGAGCGAAAAGGCGGCAAGTGCAAGTACGAGCCCGAGACTCTATCGTTGTGCATCTGCAAGATACTCGTAATCGAGCTATGCGCAGTCTCAGCTTTAGCTGCAGCTGAAGTTGCAGCTACAGCTTCTCAGGGTATTGGCTGTCAGTGCTGACCGCAAGCGGCAGCCTTGCGAGTGCCTGTGGAATGTTGTATGCCTCGCCAGTTCGTTGCCTAAGTCTTTTGTTTAGCCATCATGGAAATTCTAACTGGGGCGCAGCGGGGCGTGGCGCTGCTTAAAGCCAGTGACAAACTGAAAAAAAACATAGAAAGACACGTGAAATCCATCTACTAAAAGCAAACACTTTCTTTCCCACTCGCGAGTCGGCACTCTCACTTGGGCTCATCTCCAGATTGTTTATCTTGCGTCTTGAAATCTGGCAATACGTCAGCTTGAAATCGATTTCGTAAGATTTCCATGCGTTTTCTTCGTGTTTTTATTACTATTACTATTATTATACTTTTCGTTATTATTGTTATTATTTCTTTACTTTTTGAGTATCATTTCATTTTCCTACCAGCAGCGAGACTTGTGTCCACGTAATCGCCGGCACGTCTTCAGTTTATAGATGGATCTGAAAGTAGCTTAGGCCCAGCAATGGAAGTTTAACAAGGCAATGGCAACATTTCAAGACTTCCGTGTTGATACCCTGTACTATTGATATCAGCCGCCAAGTCTTTTGAAAGTAGCTACAATTTATTTTCGCTATATAGGATCATTTTAGGCTTTTATTCTCCTAGAACTACAGGGTAGCTGCTGCGCGAGTTCCCTTCCTTATTTGATTGGATATATTACAGAACCTTCATGCTGAAATGTTGGTGCTGTTCAAATTGAAATTCCACTCTCGGAGGGCCAAACTTCATGTTGGCTACATGCTGTGCTGTGCTATAAATTTGATATTCAAAGTAAATTTTCAATTTCAACGCGAATAGAGATTTCCATAAATAAAGCACATAAATCAGAGCTATCGACTAACAGAAACAGAAACAGAAACCGAAACGAAACCAAACCGAACCGAACTCAATTGAACTGGACTCATTAGTAATCAAAAGCTGTGCAAGCGCCGGCGGAGACACAGCCAATGCATTCTTCTCGAGCGACTGAGAGGGAGAGAGGAGGCGAGAGGCAGAACGAGAGTTGGAGGCTTGCACAAATCGTTGCACAAGCAAGTGGCGCGACCATGTGGGGGCTGCCACTGGGAACGTTGTCGCCAACGCGCGTCGGCCTCAGTCTTGGCCTTAATGGCTATTTGCCTCCGTTGTTGTTTAGTGGCAATTTAAATATTTCAGCCATTTCATTTTGAGTGTTGCTTTTGGCGTTTATTATTGTTGTTGCTCTTGTTTTTTGTTGTGCCGGCTAAACGTGTGTCTTTCTGACTGTTTTCAAAATTTCTACTGTTTTGCATTTTGGGGAATTTACGAATTTTGTGGCATCTACCCTACTTATCACTAATTAATAATTTTGTTTTAAATAAATTTTCCATTGACCAGAATAATGCGACATAACCTAATTCAGATTGCATGTTATTAATGTTTACAGCGTAATGTTAGACTCTGTTAAGCAGTGTGAAATCGACTTACCGAGAGTCTGTTATTTACCAGAGCTGTTCGCTTGGGATATATAGAACAGTTGAGAGAAATGCGAGTTAATATTTCAGTTTAATTAATTTAAATTTAAGTTGTATTTATGACAAATGTGGGCTATTCCATAAGGTAAAAATTGTAGTTGTGGGCGCCTTAATTTTGTTTTGCACTTGGTGACTTCTTGACTTTAATTTTGGTGGAAACTATGGTCGATTTCTTGCGTCCATTGAGCTTTGTTTTGTTGGCCGTATTCGCCAGGGGCTTTGGCTTAAGCACTTTGGCCTCAACGCGCACATACAAATCGTAGTTGAAGTCTCCACACCATTTACCTGTAATTCTAATAGGTGATAACAGTTCATATATTATTACTTGTGCTACTTGCCCCAGCACATTTCCTCGCCGCACGATTCGCAGGTGATGAGGCGCGTTTCCACAATGCCCGATTTGTTTTTGATTTTCCTGATGCAATTGTTTAGTGCAAATTCGCGTCTGTCCCGTGCTTCGGTCTTCAGTTCCAGCTTGCCCATCTCGACCATGCGACTGAAGTACTCCTCTTCCAGCTTCGACTTGGGCCGCAGCGTGGTCAACATTTTCCAGTCGATGGGCACAGCGCACAGTTCCATCAGCACAACATCCTTCATTTCGCTGGGCATCGGATCGGCATAGGTGTAAAGCGCCTCCCGCTCCCCGTTATGTTTCAGTAGCTTGCGCATCTCCTTTTTGGGCATTTTGAAGGAATAATCCTTTTCCCGTATCTTTATTTCCTCGGCACGCACTTTAATCGGTCGCATCTTAAAGTCTGGCACCTTTTCCATTAGCCTTTTGAACTCCTCAACTGATTGGATATTGCTGCGGCTCAGATCTAAAACTGGCACCACAGTTTTCTTCTTGGCCAAAAGATCATCCAGTTTACTCATTTTGTAATATATTTATTTTCCAACTGAAGTGAGGCACACACAAAAAACTGTTTTGATTATCGATCAAACAATGCGGCTGCTCCATAGAACATTCAGTTGACGTTAGGTTTCCAAGGTATTTTTTGGAAGATTTTTGGTTAAGAAAGTATATACTGTATTGTGGTATTTTATTGCTGTTAGCTTGCTTGTAAGTTTAGTAGGAAGTTTTCTATTATTTACAATCTGGCAGGTGATAATATTTTCCTGCATAGTACTAGAGCTCTGTTCAAGTCTTAAAGTCAAGTCAAGTCTAAAGGTTCAAGTCTTTTTAATTAGAAGATGACCTGTACCCTGCTCTAAAGTACTTTAAGATGTATTCTAATTTATATTTTAATATATATATATATGTAGATGTGTACTTACCCAAATATTTAAGTACATAAATACAATGGAGCCAGACGTTTACATTACTAAGAAAAGAACAAATGAAAAAAGAGTTGATTAAAATTAGAAGAGGAACGTGAAAGTTAAAAATGGGGGATCATGAGAAAGAGACAAAGAGAGAGAGAGAGAGAGAGAGAGAGAGAGAGATAGAAAGCAGAGACAAATTCAATAATAATCAAAGCATGAACGGTTGTGGCATCATGAGAATCGCGTAGAAGGGCAATATTTAAAGGAAAACGATTCTAAGATATATATATATATATATATATATATATATATATATATATTTATATTTAAATGCATGTATAGATCGACTTTAATTTACGTATAATTGAATCAAATTTCTTTTATTATGCCTACACTTGTTTTCAATGCCAAATACTTAATTCACCAATCTTCTCTTTCTGTTTACAGTGCCTTCGATAATAACTCAATCAGCTCAGCTCACGTATCGGAAACTGTAGTTCGTGTAATTCGGCAGAAGTAGCCGAAAAGTTGTCGTGCAAACAAATACTCGAAACGCTATCTAAGTCCAGCAGAAAAAGAAATAAAACCAAAAACAAGCCGTCGAGAAGCTGAAAGCCGACAAACAGTTGGCTCGTTTATCGTGTTGGCATTTAATTTAGTTGGTTACGTGGCCGGAGCTTCGTGTGGCCGCCGAAAAGAAAGTCACGACATTATCCAAAGCGGTTCAAAACAAGATTTCCAAGATTCTGCGCCGAAAGTCAAAGTTACAAGTTTACATTTTGGCCCGGTTCAACGTCTTTGAGCGCCAGCGTGTGTGTGCCAGTGTGTGTGTGCCAGTGTGTGTGTGTGTGTACATGTTTGTGCCACTTTAGAAAGTGAAAATCGAGTGCAGTCCCATTCCGTCAGACCTGCCTCTGGGCGCTGCAGCTGAAAGTGAATTTGCCGCTTCAATCTTCAATTCCCAGTAGCTGCAGACAGACAGCCAGACTTCGGGTTGCCTCTGCCCATTCATCGATAGAGCCGTAGTCGTATTTGAATCCACGTCCGAAAAGCCCAACAATGGAGGCCGAAGAAATTACAAAGCTCGTTGATGGCGTTTATAGGGTAAGTCTACCTTTTTTACTCGTTTGTTTGTTTTTGCTGCTCTAGTTTAAAGTAGTTTACGAGCTAATAAAGATATTTAAATTTGCTTTCCATGGCGCTTCCGCACGTGCAGGCGCAGGTAAAAGATGAAACAATTAGGGTTTTGCTATAAATTCAATTTTTAAATCAAATAGATAATCTCTAAAACTTGTCTAAGCTTGTGAAAGGGTATTTTAATTTTATCATGAAATGTGTGAGAAGGAGACTTCTTCGACTCCATTAGGAGGTACTCGTATTCTAGATCAGTATCAACAGTTTGAGTACTAAGAACTTTTTTGTTTATCAAGATATCTTACTCAAAATACGCATTTATAAGTTTCACAATGCACCTCGCATATTTGCAAAATCTAACCAACATCGGATAACTAAATATATTACATAGAGAATGATCGGTCGAAAATTAGGAATTTGTACTCCAAATTTTTTTATTAAACCAGATAACTTACCCAAACTGTAAATCTATATCAAAGCCCCCGAAAAGTTGGTGCTGATCTGTAGGCTTTTGTTAATTTTAACATAACTTGATCAAACTTGGAAATGATAAGTATCGTGATGATCCTCATATATCTGCTAGGGGAAAGATCTGTTGTCAGAGATATTTTTAACAAACTCTTCTCACATATCTGAAAATGGGAAATGTCTTTAAGTGTATTCAATTCTACTTTGTACTACTATTGATATGTTATTCTATAACACATTATTAATAAAAATAAAATATTAGATAGATAGGGTATGAAACATATCAATTTCAACTTTAAGTCAAAAGTGAAGTCTTAAAAACGATTTAATGGCATTTAACAATAAAATATTGTAATTAAAGTTCGGTCAAGGTGAAAACTGTGCTTATTGGGCGTCAATTAGATTCAAATGTGCTTTTAATCTGAGCAAAACAATTTGTTTTTTATTTTTGTTTTTTTTTTGATATGGCATAATATGCCCGCTAGCCTCCACGCGGAGTCAAACAAATTTTTTCTTATGCAAGCAACGCGCAACTGGGCCAAAAGCAACGGCAAATTGCGTGAAGGCCATTTCTAGTTAAATATCTGCGACTAATTTCATATTTTCTAAACGCACATAATGATCGCCAACTATTCGAAAATGATTTACCACCAGCTCTGCATACCCTGGCGGATAGTTGTATAATTTATGTAGTTACTTTGAGCTGGCAAATAATTTGTTTGAATTTGTAAAACAATTGAATAGACCTTAGAAAATCTTAGAATTAATATATTTTGCAACCCGATAGCTAGATAAATTATATAAATAATTTATGTGTGGAAGGGTATCTCCAGCTTCGGCGACAAAAATACTACGCGCAGCTGTCATGAATTATCGACAGCAAGATTTATCATCGCACGCGATGCCCATAAAAAGCCCTACAAAAAAAGTAAACCAAAAATCATTTTAGACAAAACATAAATAGTTGTATACATGGATTTACGAGTGTCCGTCGAGGCATTTGAAAGTGAATTTCGGTGGCTGAAAATCCAAACTTGGTCACGACGCGCTCAGGCCTTAAAATATTTCTTGTTTATTGTTGTGGCTTTTCTATTTTTTTTTTTACTCTTCTTTTCAATAGTTGTTTTTTTTTCAACTGTCATATATAGCATACGAAACCGCACAAAACAAGTTCAATTGCGTTTGTGCCACACTCTGTGGCAGTTGCAACAAAAACTGCAGCAACAATAATAAAATTAAAAAAAAACTCCGTCTTGGGAGTTTGGCAAGTTTTCAGCTTCTTTTGCCGTGGCATCTGCCAGCAGCGCAGTGTTAAAGAGGGGTTTGCGAGAGGTGGGGCAGGGGGGGGGGGGCAGGGCGTTGCACATTTCGCGCATCCATTTCATTATGCAACATTTAGTTTTCACAACTTGCAGCCAGCAGTTGTTTTATTTTTTGTTTGTTTTTTTTTTTTGCGGTTTTCAGCTTTGAAAATTGCGGAAATTTGTGCGCTTTTTGGGCTGCTTCCTCGGCTTTTCATGTTGCACATGGCTGCATTTTCTTGCATTTTTCTCGAACAGCATTTGCATTTTTGTCTTGGCGGCTTTTTGTGTCACAGCACAAACAATATTTAATTATTGTGACAAATTTGTAAAAAGACTCAGGAAACGAACTTGCCTAGCAGCCTGCAACTGGAATATGAATGAATTGCTGTACATTAATCAAATCACTTCCTCATTGAGCTTGTCTTTTCTCGCAGATTATATATTTACCTAAGTCCGACTTATGACAGACTTTGATTAACTGCTGTCTGGCTTAATTGGTCCATAGATCGATTATAATGTGTGGGGTATTATGTATTATAGTTACTCTGCAAATTAATTGACGGGCATTTATTTTTATGGCTTACAGATCCTCCATTTGCCAATGGCTTCAACTTAAATGAGTCTAGTTTGTATCTTCGACTCATATTTTAATCTTTTTTTTTGTGTTTTTAGAGCTTGAAAGTACTTGAAATTTAAAGTTAAGTACTATGTTTGGTCTTGGTTTGATCTCTAAAGCAGTTCATGATCCATTCAAATGGTATTTTAAGCAGTTCAAATCTGAGCAAAAAACCCAAATAAACGCTTATATCTCTGTCAGAGCGATAAGCTAAAAGCATATGCTTTTCCTCACTTGCTTTGTTCATATTTCTGAATAGGCTAGATCCTTCTTTATATATATTTTTATTACTTCAATAATATAGTCCACATTTCCTTAGTATTATATCGTTATATCGTTGATATAGTACATATATTATATGTATATAGATTATAAGACTTTTGGAAATAGCTAACAAGACTGAGCCAGGGACTCGAACTCTCTTTTTTTACTATCAAGCGAAGCATAAACTAAATTAGTTTTAAAATCAAACCAAATTTTGCTTAAAAAGCTCGAAATAAAATCATTTAAAGTAGGCATTTCTTAGCAGATGATGTCTTTAAAGGCTCTGCATCAAATTTAGCCCGCATTTTGTATATGAAAATATTTATGGCTGGCAATATTTTCAGTACAACAGGCAATTGTGAATTTCTAAAATTGAATTGTTTCATAAGAAGTTGGAAACGATTTGAAGTAATACCTGGGCCTCAGCTTAAGGCGGGGAGTTGGCTCGAGCCTTGCCCTGATAACTTAACCAAACTTTAATTAACTAATAAATATATTATAATGTTAACAATTTTAATATAGAATATAAGCTAACATTTCTGTAAGCGTTGCCACATAAAATGTAGTAAAAATCTTCGTCTGGCTTATGTTAAATAAATCTTCTGCGATTGCTTGTCACACTCTTGAATTTGTGGCGCATTCCAGCTAGAAACTGAACTGCAATAAGCGGCCTCTTGACTGCGGCGAATGATGCCCAGGTGGCCAGGCAATTGGTTTTGATTGTCTGGGGACTGGACGCAAGGCGAAGCCACTCAAGAGCTGCCCAACGTGGCGCACAAGTGGGCCAACGTTGACGACCAAAGTTGCTCCAAGTGCCGAAGCTACGGCCAAAAGCCAATGAGAATAAATGAGGATTGCAAACGCTGATGAAGACGACGACAAAGTCGTTGCCCAATGAGAGAGGGAAGTGGGAGCAGAGATGGGCATCGAGACTGCGACTGTGACGGATTGTGAGTCGAAGGCGCAGGCATTTCTAAGGCTGCTGCATTAGAGAGAGAGAAAGAGAGAGGTGGGGAGAGAGAGCGGGTAAGGGCGACAGAACGATGTCACACGGTTTGCCCGGGGCAAGCGCCTCAATGGAACTGTGTCAGTGCACGAATGGTCTGAAGGGGTGTGGAGGGAGAGAAAGGAGAAGAGGAAAGCTGAAAGAAGAGGGAAGCCCTACAACTCGCACTTTTCGACTTAGAAGTCACGCGAGAGTCGAACATATTTCACGCACGCTGCGTTCAGCTTGTTGTGGGAGGAGGGGGCGTAGGCAGCTGGCGTGGACGTGGGCGTGGTTACGCCTTGACGCCTTTGCTTAAGTTGTGTCAACAGTTTTTCTGCTACTTATTGTTGTTGTTGCTGCACCTGTTGCGTGCCTGGTTGCCTTCTATTTTGTTTGTTTTTATTACTTTATTGCTACGTTTTTTTTTTATTTGCAAGTTTTCATTTTCTAATTGGCATAATTGCGGCTTGTGCTTGTTGCTGTTGTTGTTTTTGCTGTAGATGTTGGCGGATTGCATTCTCGCATGCCCGCGGTGGGTGTGGCCGCCGGCGTCGTTGAATTATGGCCAGGCCCATTTGATACCACTTTGCTGCCCCTCGCGTGCCTGCTGCAGGGTGAGAGAGGCGGGTGGAAACAGTTAACAAAATTGTTGCGCCGCATTGCGACTATTTTTCTTCTTTTTTTTTTTAATTAAAAAATTACATGTGCGCACTTGGCGATTTATGTTAAGCGCCGATTAGAGACGGTCACTGGGCGGCATGAGGGGGTGCTCAATTTATTTTGGCTTAAATGTTTCGCCAAAGAGATTCGCGGGCGTGATAAAAGTTGCGTCAGCGCTTTTCTAAATTGCATGCCAAAAAGTAACAGAGCCAAGGCGGCGGCAAGGGCAGGCGGCAGCAGGTGAGAGGATGGAAATGTTGGCCATAGAATTACGAAACAAATTCGATGCACTTGTGTGTGCAAATTATTTAATATAATTGTATTTTTTAATTAAAAGTGGCTGCCCAAACAAATCTAAAAAGCTGTGTAAGAGTTATATAAATCAATATTAAACCTTAGTCTGTTTTCTTTAAAGCTTCAAGTGCGATTCATAAATTAATTTGTGTACATTGACCAATTAGACATTTCGTATTTCAGACAATTGTTGCTCTACTAAAAAATCATTGAGCACGTACAAAAAATTGTATTAGTTTTTATTTACATGCCTTGAACTGAGCTTTATGGTAATTATGAAGGACAGTCGCCCCAAAGGGCTTAGCTAATTATCATAACAGCCCGGCAAGCTATGAAAAACCACAACTTAGACAAAAAAAATAGCATTGATAGCCCAATAAAGCACTGGTAGCCGGGTTGAGGGGTGCACAAAATGTATCTCGCAGATACACAGATACTTAAGTGCATTGCTTAGCCCATGTCAGGGCTGGCGCACTTGTCATGCACTCGCGGCACACTAATTGAAAACAATACGAAATTGAAATGTAAATTAAACAGCAAGCAGATATATCGCATGTTAAGCCGATAAGACGGCTCTTAAAAGTAATTCACGAAAGCATAGACACTCGAATAAATGGCAGCAGATCGTAGTATAACCCGAGCGCGACCTTGTCTATTTCGAGTTTCGAGTTTGAATTCCAGTTTTCGAGTGCAAGCATTCCCACGCCTTGATGCCACATTTGCAGCCAATCAATTTTGTGCTAAAAGCTAACGAAAAAAAATAAATAAAATGAAACACAAATTCTCTTCATTCATTCCATTGTATTTGTGGTTAGACAAAAAGTTTGTCTGTTTCCAGAAACCAAAAATCTGTTTGTCAAATTTTTTGACAATTTGCTGCTAATTGTACTCGTACTCGTATTCGTACTCATATTCATATGAGTGCTGCGCTTTTATGCGGAGTTCTTAGCAAAAAAAAATAATTTTTTTTTCAATAATCAAACAGCTAGCAATTAATTATGCCCGAGCCGGTACCCATTGTCTGGCAATTGGGCTGACAATTAAACGCTTTGTGCGTCATTTACAGCCCCCGTCTGTGGTTGGGCATTGTCTTTTATGGCGCCAAGCCCAGGATCAGATCACTTCGTCTACTTTTAAATGGAGCTGTTGTGTGTTTATGCTAGGCGCAAGCTGATGTCATTTGGCTAAAAGCTCATAAAACACGACGTCACCTGCGATTGTATTCAAATGCACTTTTCCGACTCTCGTTAAGTACTCGTACTTAATTCATTATTATTTGAGTGCCTATTAATTGAATTTGCAGTTATTTAACTTTTATAATGCCTTGGCTGAACTTGCTTATGATTGATTTAAATATGATTCATCATATGATTAATTGACTTCCAGTTAAGGAATTTATTATTGTTGTTATCTGATTATTGTCTTTGATGCTGTCATTTTGTGCTATTCTCGGAATTCGCATTCAATCATAAATATCGCATATGATGGAATTAAATTAAATAATTTTCAAGTTCCAAAATCCTTGGATCTTATAATAGCACATGCTATTAAATGGTAATTAAATTGTCAGGCTATGCAAATCAGCATAAGGTTTTTTTTTTTAATATTTTATTACATTATTTTGTTTTAGTCAGAGCACTTCTTTAAGTCTCACAGATAAATAGGTTCTTGCAAGTGTAAATGGGCTCTGCACTTCTTCATTTTCGAATAAGTGATATTAAATAGTTATCGATAAGGATAGTTATCGATAGGGATAATTATCGATAAAGCTAGTTATCGAGAAAGATAATCATCGATAAATGTCGTTATATATCAAGATAATTATCGATATATATCGTTATCGATAACTGCATGTACTTCGTGCTTAATCGAATTAAAAAACTATAATAATTAAATGGTAATTTCCACAAGATTCAGTTTCTTTTGCGTTTAATCTGACTTTAATCTGCCTGCTAACATGGATTATCGTTTAGTTGAGCGTGGAAAACTTTCCTAATGCTCACACAGCGAAAATATCTGATTGCTAGATTATTGTCGTTAAGTTGCTGTGGCATATGCCCGGCCGTGTTATTGCATTCACCATTTGTGGCCTCGGCAAAGGTGCATGTGCAGTTGGCATTACGAGCTGGGAGTCGAGTCTCTGCAGTCTCTGCTGGCGGCTTACGCGGAACTAATGATGTAGTAGATGTCTTTGGCTGACCACAACAATGTTTTGGTGTTCGCCGGATTGATTATACAACGGACTTTTACTACCCGAAGCAAGTCGTGAAAAACCATTACGACTCAAACCCAGCGTGTGATATGAGACATTAAATTAAAAGCTACAAGCGAGAGTGCCCGCGTATACCCTGTACCCAGCTGTGAGCTGTCGCAATATTCATAAGTGTTCATATAATTTAACTATGCGATATCTCAAAATGTACCCAAAGAAAATATTGTTTATCTTTGCAAGTGCTTCAGTCAGCTATCTTTAGGATCAAATTGTTTATACAGACGATCAAAAATATATATATACCTTACTTATTACTTTTGAAGAGCTGCCTCTACTTTTCATATATTTCTATTTTTCATGAACCTGCATATTTATCAGTCAACAAATTAAGAGTAGCTAAAAATAAATAAAGTAAGAAGTAATAATGCATATGCCCATTTTAAATGGTTTACAGAGCATAAAAGAGTATTAAAAAAATAAGTGAGCTAAATGATCTGTCGCTGGGAATGCGATGGCAGTTCATAAATTATAACTAATTATCATATGCGAGTGCATAAAAATGTGTATTAAACAGCATTATTATTAATCTATTCAATTGCAGAATATACTCGATAGATTTAATCCGGGTGCCAGGCAGCTAATTGCGGCGGGCAAAAGTTACCTGAAGGCGTTGCATGGTAAGAGTACGGCGGCATTATAGTCATCATACGTATAAATATACTATGCTTAACTGGGCATACAGTTAACTAATTTGCAATGCATTTCGTGCCATTTCACATGCAACAGGTGCCGCAACTGCCTCGCGTCTATTCAATGAAGCATTGGCCAAGATTGCAATGAACGCGCAACAAAGCGGAACAGGCGATATTGGTAAGACCACAGACTGAAAGAATGCAAGGGAGAGACTCCAATTTGATCAATAATATACTAAATATACTCTTGATTTCATTGCAGGTTCGGCTTTGATGAGCGTTGTTAATGTTAACAAGGAGATACAGGAGCAACAGATGAATATTGTGAGTAGAAAATACAAGAATGCCTGAGAATCGCAGAGAAGGGCGGCTGCTTGCTCTATTCTCTATGCCTTTCTACGCAATTCTCAAGAATTCAAGCTAAGCTTCAAGTCAAAGTCTTATTTCATCTTCATTTTTTCTTTTCCTCTGCACTCCAGCTGAAAGCCTTCTACGTTGATCTATTGGTGCCATTGGAGACGAATTTGGAGAAGGACACGAAAGTCGTGCAACATGAGCAAAAGAAATTTATGCAGCAGCACAAAGTGCGCATGGAGAGCTACCAGAAGGCCGTTTCCACAATGAAAAAGCAGCGCAAGAAAAAGGCCACGCCCGAGAATACCGAAAAGGAGCTGAGAGTAATTTAACTCGCCCCAAATGAGAGTCACGAATCAATTGATTAAACAACTCACACTCATTTCAGAGCCTGCAACTGTTGGAGGATCAAAAGAAAAAACTCGACATATTTTGTGATCAGAGCTATAAGAATGTAAGTTTGTTGCCTAAGTCATTTGTTTCGACTTCCGAGAATCAAAGAAGATTCTTATACCCATTCGCACAGGCCATGACACAGGAGCGTCGTCGCTATGGCTTCGTCTTGGAGCGCCAGTGCTCGATCGCCAAGCACTGGATGGCCTACCATGCCACCGGCAAAACAGTAATTGATAATAATTTCGAAAATTGGCAAGAGATTGCCGCTTCTCGTGAGATAATTCCGCCGGCCGCATACGAAAGCGCCGGCTACAGCAGCAGCAACAGCAACACAAGACGCCTGGTGAGTCATCATGCGCCCAGCCCTAACAACCTCTCTCTCTTAACCACTCTCCGACTGTTCGTCTGTTTGTCTGTCCAGGAGCGCATCAAAGACGCTGACGATGATCAGCTTCAGCTCCAGGGCCAAGGCCAGGGCCAGGGCCTGGGCGCCCAGCTAAAGAAGTCGCGCAGCATCGATGCGCCGTACGGCGACATGCGCACTCTGCACGAGCGTGAGGGTGTCTCTGGATCGGCGCACTATGCTCAGAACTCGCTGCCACGTGCCAAATCCGATTTCAATCTGGCGCTGGTCGGCGCAGGACCCATCACAGGTAGCTCGCAAAACCACTTCATCTGCCCCCACCCCACAAAGTGTACACAGCATATTTTGACACAACTTGCAGGCAGCAAACACAAAATCATTGAGGAGCAGCTGATGCATGGCGAGCTCGAGCGCGGGGATCAACGTCCGCTGGTCAAGGCGCTCTACGCGTACATGCCGTCCGGCGAGAATCAGCTGTCCTTTGAGGAGGGCGATCGCATAGCGCTTGTGGGCGCCAAGGCCAAGGGCTGGCAGTTCGGTGAGAATCTGCGCACTCAGCACTTCGGCTGGTTCCCTGTGGCGTACACCAACGCGGAGAGCCTGGAGCTGCCGCCCTCCGCCGGTCGACGCTACGAGAACATGCACATGAGCTACGAGCGCAACGGCGCCAGCGGACTGCGCAGCTACCATGAACAGCAGCAGCAGCAACAGCAGCAGCAGCAGCAGTATGAGGCGCAACTGGAGCTCCTGGACAGCGATGCCACCTATCGGCGACGACGCAATCACAGCGCCGAGGAGTCCTCGCCCACGCGCATGTTTGGCGACACCATCAAGCAGCAGAAGAAGTACCGCTCCGGCTCCGCGGCCAATCCACGTCCCGGCCCGCCGCCCACGCTGCCCGCTCCCGTGCCCAATGCTGGCCAGAGCCAGAGCGCCCGAATGCTGAACAGCTCGCAAAGCTTCTGTGCCACCAATGGGGTGCCAGCTGCCGTGGAGAGGCGCAAGCAGAAGCTGCTAAATGGAGCACAGGTGCGCAATCCCAAGTGCCATTCCATAATTCCACTCAACTGTTCTTTACTAATTAACCTCATCCGCAGAGCTCGATGAGTCAACCGTCCACAAAGTCCGCGGCGGCGGCAAAGACCTCGCTGCACAGCAGCAACGACAGCGGCTTCGCCAATGAGCCGCCGCCTCAGCCCGAGGTGGACTACTCCGACGAGGAGCCAGCCACACAACGTGTGCCCATACGGTAGGTTCCAGATACAACTAAACTCTAATTTGATGTTGTTGTTGTTGCGCCGGAGGGGATTGGATTTTCTTAACAGCAGAGTCGATATGGCCAGGTGGTCCGTCCCGGCTCGGATTGCTTGATCTTATAGCTATCATAGGAACAATCGAAAAATGTTTTGCAGACATTTTTTTTTTACTTTTCAAGATATCTTGACTTTACTATGCTCCTCCAAAGCTTATCAAAATCGAACTTCATCATATAGTTATATTGAAAGATGGACTATTTATGTGTTCCAAGATATCTTAACACAGCAACTAGGAGCTTCTGGCCATATATATCCTCCTATTATCCTCCTATACTTCCAACGGCGGCTTTTTTTTAATAAGGCTGCATCGTCACTTAGGTAGTTGGGGGACTCTGTCGTGGTTGGAGGATGTCCTTGAAGGATATTCTCTTGACAACCCACACACCTCCCAGCGAGGTCTGCGTCGCGTTGCTGCGGTTGGCGAATGCTCCGACTTGGCTGTTCGTGGTCACCATTTTGAGGTCTCTGTGCAAGGTAGAAATGCTGACGTACCAGTTTGGTGTTTGGAATGTCTGAATCCGTCTTCGAGTTGTCTGAGATGCAATGACCCATACCATATCTCCAGGTTGGCGCTAGAGTGTCATCAGAGCTACCACTTCAATAACTAGCTCCACCCCTTTTGCCGCGACAACAACAGCAGGTATATCTGTTGCATCACCTGCTCCATCCGCTGCTGTTGTCACTAATCCGCGCCTGCGCTTGGCAGCCATCGTAGTTCCATCACATATACATATATATTTATTGCTATGATAAAAGTATTTAATTTATTTTTGTTTGCTGTTTTATTGTTCTTTTGTTTCCATGTATCATCATTATGTTCTTTGTTGCCCTTCATCATTGTCGCATCCTTTGTGTTAACCACGCCCGCACACACACACACACACACGCACACAATCCACACACACACGCGCGCAAATCGGCCTAACCCACACCAACAACAAACTGAAGACGACGCGCGGACACGAATACACATACGGTGCCGCGGGATGTGGCCTCCTGGACACTGAGCCGCAATTTCCGGAACAGCGTGGACAGCCAGATCGATGACAAGAGCCTTAACCGGCTGAGCCGGCAGAGCGTTGGTGTTGGCGGCAAGATGCGTTATGATTTGATTGCCTCGGACGATGAGATACTGCAGGCCTCCAGTGCGGGCTTGAAGCGCACCAAATCCTTCTGGAAGTTTGGCGGCGGCCGCAGCGGCGAGGACATCCTGGCCGGCATGTCGCTCTGGCAGCATCGCGATCTGGTCGCAGCGCCCAATATGGAGGAGATGCGCGACGAGTCGCGCTCCGACGAGGATCGGGAGCGCAACAGTCACAGCAACGGAAATGGCACACTGACCAAGTCGCACAACTCCAGCTCCTCGCAGGAGAAGCGCGGACGCAAGGACAGCATAACTAGCACGGAACTCTATGGCGATGACGATGAGAACATCTATGGCATTAGTCCGGCCATGCCGCCACAGAAACAGCAGCAGCAGCACCAGCCGGCGCAACAGCAGCAGCAGCAGAGGAGCAGCGGCTACACGCCCAAGTCGCGCATGAAGATCATGAAGACGATCGAGATTGATATTGAAGAGCCCTCAGAGAGCGAACGGCTAAGCACTATGCGACGCGGCCAGACGCAGCATCAGCAGTCGGACTATGGCCATGGACATCGCAAGCTGGACAAGCAAGGTTCGGGCTCCGCCTCCTCGACGCCACAGCACAAGACACAGACGCTCAGCCGCTCCAAGCCGGCACAGCAGCAACAGCAGCAGCAGTTCCCAAACTCCACGGATGAGGGGGAGAGCGATGAGCATGGAACGCTCAAAATGAGCGATGTGAACAACTTTTTTGATGACATGCAGCATGATGGAGCTGGCAATACTGGCAATGGCGCCGGAGGCGGCAATCATGGCCTGGTCATGAAGACGCTCAAGCGCAAGGACATACTCAAGCAGTACTACACCAGCGAGGATGAGTCCGAGGCCGAGCTCAAGTCAACTAGCTCCGATCCCTATGACTGCATCGTCATCAATGATCATCTGGTGCGCAAGGACGACAAGCTGAGACGCCAGCATCACCATCAGCAGCAGCAGCAGATGGAGTTTCACACATTCCGCTCGTCCACATCCACAATGGCGACCAATACGCTAAAGAAGTCCAACTCCAAGGACCAGGAGAGCACGCTGACCCGCAATTCCACAGCCAACTCGGCCGGCGCACCAACTGCCACCATATTGCCACGCACGCGTCTGCTCAAGTCATCTTCCAGCAGCAGCAACAACAACAACAACAACAACAACAGCCACAATAACAACAGCAGCAGTGCCACCCTGGAACGTAACTTAAAGGCGCACGTGGGCAACAAGAGCTACGGTCCGTGGTACGACTTCTGGGATCAGGAACAGCATGGCATCACTGGCCAGAAAAGCGCCAGCGCCAAGCTGAAGTGATCTGAAGCCAGCCACTGGGCAGAGGGTCGGGCAAGTAGGGAGGCAAAATGGAATTTAGAAATTTGTAGTTTCGCCGTTTTCTTACCAGAGAAGAAAATGGTCCGAGCGTGCCGGCGATTGAAGAGAAACAGCAAGAGAGAGCATGAGAGAATTGTGTAGCTTGCAGGGGCAGACATAGAGAATTTTATATTTTAACAGACAAACTTTACTCTCTCTGAAAATAATTATTTCAAAATAATTTCAACGAGATTTCAATACATTTAATGTTTTTACGAAATTCTATGCTGCTTAAAAAATTTTACAAATTTTGCGTTTGCAGTCGACACAAATGGAAAAGGTTTTTTTCTACCATTTTCTTTAGTTTCGCATCAAAATAACTAGAAGTTAGTAAATTTCTAAGGTTGAGCAAAAATATTTTTACTAGAGAAAATATCTTGATAACAGAAATTTTTTTGACGCTAAATTAATTCGATATTTTAACGATTTGATGAGCTTCTTCTTTAATCTCAATGATCCTTTTTTTCTTAGTTATTTTTATTAATTTTGGATAATTAGACAGAGAACATGGAATAATGCACACAAGGGTTTTCTCTGCATTTCATATTGTAGGGAAATAAAACAAATGCTCACATATCGAACGCTGACTGCTTGCTACATGAAACCTCACAATGTGAGAACTTCCATTTTTGGTGCCTTGCATAACGCACAGTTTTAAGATGAACACAAACACATATACCATATATACATAAATATATATACTATATCTATATTTTTTTGCTTTAGACATAAGTTCTTGCATCATGTTACATTCACACACACACACACACATACACCTGCCCCAAATAAGTGGAAATATTACGAATATATTTTATATTTGCAGCAGGCGCGGTATTTATCGCAACTATTCCATAGGCTACAGAAGCTAGACACTAATTACAACCAACCCGTAGAAGTACACTTTATATTCCACACAAAATTCCACTGTATAATTGAATGCGTATGTAAAAAGCTGTCATACCCCTCCTTGTCCTTTAAATTGTACAAAGTTGCTAAAACCATGCGTATGTAAGTGCTTTTTTCAGTAGTGCCCCGTAGCACAGCATAGCTCTGTGTGCTGTCCAATTCTACTCGCAATGTGCGTCACTCTTTGCAGCGCCTCGCAATTTGCCACCATCAAGTTGCGGCACACGAAGACCAATGATCGCTCGGCTCCGATGATCTACCGGAGCGTCAACAAGTAGCAACGACTGCGCAAGGTGGAGTTTTCGTTGTGACCGTGCGACAAGGCCTACTGAAAACTTCAGCTACACACACACACACACACACACACACACAAACACAATCCTAAGCCTGAACACAAAATTAAAACATAAACCTTATCTATTAAAAAGAGCTAATGATTCTGCTCTGTCATGCCCGACAAACTGGAACTCGAAGGACCAGCAGTTGACCAGTTCCAACTGCAGTTGGGCAAGGATTCTTGGTAGTCATTAAGTTGTATTGTTTGTTAAAAAATTATGTATGTATGTTAATGATCGAAAATTGTAAATTCAAATATTATGCAAATAAAGTAAAAGTAAATAAAAATCAGTTGCATACATTATTTTGATTAACAAAACAATCTTCGGGATTAATCTTAACGGACTACCCTTAAATAGACATTCGTTTCCTGCAAGTAAAAGAATTATGAAACTTGATCGGATAGAAATTTCATTGGACTCACAATATCTATTAATTGGGACTCATCGCCAAGAATGATGACCAATGGTTTTTTCTCGTTTGGATTTCGCACCTGCTGCAGCACGCGATATGCTTCAGTGAGAAAATCTGTTCCTAAATCTGGTGAATCTATTTTTATCACATTTAAGCTATGACACTCTCTAAGTATATTCAAGACTAGACTATCAATTGGGCTCGATTTGGGCAGCTTTATAGAAAGATGTGTCAGCTGACCAAGAGCTGTCAATAGTTCCAGACATCGCGGCTCGGTAAAATCACAATCCAATTCCCGCAATGTTCGTATTTGTGCGATTTTAGCGGTCTCCTGGTAGCCAAGGCTGGGCGCATGAATGGTCAAAGTGTGCAGCTGCTGCGACAGCTTGGAGGATACGGCAGCAACCAGCGGCATCAGAGAACCATAATCTATAGTGCGATTGCCAAAGATCTCTAGCTTGCATAGATTTGGCAGTTCGGCAAGAGCCGTGTACTCGGCGGCCTTTTGGATCATGCATAAACTGAGCTCCTGAACGAGGCTTGAGTGGCGAACAAGATCTTCGAGAGTCGGACGAATCGAGGCATTATTAAATATCAGTAGCCGTATTTTTGTGTGCCTATCGATGGGCTCAATCAGAGGGTTCCTGCTCAATCGGGATTCCGCCAGAAGCTCATCACATTCGTTAAAATGATACAAGCTATCCACAATGCAATCTAAAAGATAGATATGTAAGTTAATCTATGTACGTGTGCTTGTGTAGATGCTTTGACTAACTGTCCTGATAGGTGGCAATTCCCTGCATGTGTGGCAAACGCTCAAATGCTCGCAAAATCTTTTCATAGGTCTCGTAAGGCTCGTCGTCTTTTATCCAAAGTATAGCACGCTCCAGAGCAGTCAGTTTTTTCAGAATGCCTATGATTTCTGTTAACAATGTTCCGCACCAATCGAATTTCCTATTAAAATTGATAACAATACGCTTCACATGTCTGCTGATTTGGCGCAACAAGAGCAGTTCCTGTTTCAATCCTCTAGCGCTGCTTTCTCCAAGTTCCAGTTGCCTATAAAGACAATTCCGATAGCCCAGCCAAACATGACGGAATCGCGTGCAAACTCCTGCAAAACTCATGTGATTTTCAATCGGCAGATATTTAAGTACGCAAGCAATACAATCATCGTTAAGATCGAGAATATGTGTGCGCATATTAAATGATTGTAGAAATTAAAATTTTCGAAAGCAAGAGTAAACAAATAAATAAAAACATCTGTTTTAGCATTAATGTGACCAGATTTCGAAAATGAAAAAATCTCTTATTTTTACCACGGCAAAAATACTAAAACACATTTTTAAAAATCCATTTACATATATTGAGACAGCCATGCTTACGGTATATCAAGAAATATCATAGTATTTCCTTTGGGCACACCGAACTGCTAGCGAATGTCCCTACAGGTTGCAGATTCGTGCCCACCTGATGAGCCCAGAGTAAACATGGTAAATGAATGTTTAAAAAGCGTGTCTCAAAGCTTTTTCTTCCGGTTTACGAATGTGTATCAATATCATGAGCATTATATTTCCGTTACAAGCAACTATTCAGTATATTTATAAGCTTTAAGATTATATCAACGAGGCGACAATAAGACGAGACGACTGTCTGTTGGAAAACATGAAGGGTTCATAGTTCAATACATTTACGTATACGTATATATTATTGTTGTTTGTATTTCTTGTATATATTGTGCAGTAATGCCGTGACTTCAAACTTGATTTCCGACAATGCCTCAGGTGGAATATCCTTTATAATACTGTCCCAGAATGCATACACTTCCGGATATTGCAGGGTCGACTGTTGCTGCGCAAGCAGAGCCTTTTGCTGTTTCATCATTTTGACGAACATTGATGCAAGCAGATCAGGATTTACATGACTCCTTGCCTTTAGGACTAGTTTTAACAGGCAATACAAGGAAACCAAACTGAACTTACGTGTGAATAGCTGCTCGATGTTTGTTCGTCCTCCTCAAAGCGCGCTGCTTCAGGCTGAGTTGAAGATGTTGAATTGATTTGGAATTGATGCTCATCCTTGCAAATGTTGCTGCCAGACATCTGTAATAAACAAACGTTAAATTTAAAGAATATTGACATTTTATATGGCGTTACGTTGAGAATGGCGCTGTACTTTTCTTCCTCCTCATCAATAGAAACTTCGGGCAGCTGAACCGCAGGTCCATTGCCCGTTATATAATTATCTTCAATATTGTCTGACCAGGCTTCACTCTGCGATTCGTAGGTTTTATGGTTTGAGGAATTGTTGTTCGTTCGATTCGATCCTTTTGAAGCAGTTCGGTGGGTTCTGTAAAGAGCAAACATATTTAAAATAAAATAAAAAAACGTTCGTTTGCAAATCCTACTTGCGTCGGGAACAAACATCCGATAGAAAGGACATGCGCTCTCCAAATTCCAAGTCGACATCAATGTCGTCTTCGCTACTTAATGGGTCCCCATCTTGTCCAGATAATTTGATGCGCTTCGAATAGTTTCGGTAGTTTTCGCGGAGTACTTTAAAGCTTTCACGACAGAGGGTAACTAACAATACATTTAAATAGTGATATTAACAGTTAAATGCAAAGATGTTACGGTTTTAATATTGCAGACCATCTTTTTTCAGCTGGTGAGCGACTTCCCTCCAAGCTTGATTTATTGCTTGAAGATTCGAATGCATTGGATGTGAAGGATCCCAAATGACCATCTTCTTTTGTATGGCGTTAATTAAAGCTAGTTTATCTGCTCGCGAAAATACCAGAGAGCGTTTTTGAGCTCCACTCATTTTTTAAATAATACAAAAATGTTTCTCTTGTCAATAGATTAAATCAGATGTAAACATTTAACAGCCCTGTCGATGGCTTGGTTTAAAAAATAAATTGTGGAGCAACACTGGAAAAAAATACCGATATACCAACAGATAGGCCTTAGGTCGATAACATTAGTATGTCGTCGCCGGTGTCGTTGTCCAAATATAAACAAAACCATCTAAAGAAAACAATCTAATATTGCTGATCAATGGAAGTCTAAAGATGCAGGGCTCTTGGAAAGTGGTCTTGCCCGTTGGATTTGTGCTGTACTCACTACCGCTGTTCCTGCGGGTTAACGGCACTGCCGAGTACATAATCGATGAAGAGTTTCACATACCACAGGGCTTGGCCTTCTGTCGCAAGCAATTCGATGTGGTATGCGACAGTAGCAGGTGCTGCACCTGCACATAGGAGCCCCTAATCAAATGGCAATTTGTAATTCTTTCAGTGGGACTCCAAAATCACAACGTTTCCTGGCTTATATCTACTTGCCTTAGTATTGCACCCGTTTAACTATTGCACGGTTACGGGTCTGCGTCTGCTTAGCCTGATCGGCGCGGGCATCAACATTCTGTTGCTGTACAAAATACGCCGCCGCACCCTAGCTGGCACTGGAGGCAATGCCTATGCCGCGCACGAGGCAATAACGATGTCAGTGCTGCCTCCTCTGTATTTCTTCAGTCATCTTTACTATACTGATACGCTGGCCTTGACCATGGTGTTGTTGTTTTACAATTACTGGCAGCAGGAGGCTCACCTGCCGGCATCAGTTTTCGGTGCGGCCAGTGTGCTTATGCGCCAGACAAACATTGTCTGGGTGTGCATGTGCTGTGGCATCACCATTCTGGACACGCTTGTGCAGCAATGCGCCCGGACAACCACGGCCAGTAGCCAACCAATACGACTATTTGGCAGCGAAGTGAGCACAAGCCTATATAAACTAAACATAATAATGCATTTAAAAACATGAAATGTTTTCGCTTACAGCTTTGGCTACAGCTGCTCAGCAGCCCGCAGCTGATATGCAATTGTATTTTAAGGATTATGGCTAAATGCTGCTTCTACGGCTCCATCATATTACCCTTCATTGGCTTTATCTGCATCAATGGCTCCATTGTAGTGGGCGACAAGAGCGCCCATGAGGCTACTCTACATTTACCGCAGCTTTTCTACTTTGCAACATTTGCAGCTGGCTTTGGCATTTCCAATACCGTGCGGCAACTGCGTCCGGCGTTGGCGCTGCTGCGACGCCATATAGTGCTGGCGTTGCTAATTACGTTGCTCATAGCCTCGGTGGTGCATTTTAACACCGTGGTCCATCCGTACTTGCTAGCCGACAATCGTCACTACACCTTCTACATATGGAGTCGCCTCTACGGCCGCTACTGGTGGTTCCGCTATGCCATGGCGCCGCTGTATTTGTTCGCTCTGGCGCTGCTCTGCTGTGGACTGCGACATATGCCTGACAGCTTCAAGTTGATGTTTCCGCTGTCGCTGCTTCTCGTTTTGTGCTTTCAGCGTTTGCTAGAGCTGCGCTATTTCCTGGTGCCATATATAATCTTCCGACTGAATACGCGGCCGGCACGCAAGGGCTTTGCCGAGTGGCTGGAGCTGGGCGCACATCTGCTCTTGAACGTGGTTACGTTCTATGTGTACTTAACAAAAGAATTCTATTGGAAAAACTATCGCACACCACAACGAATTATTTGGTAAAGAAATATGCGCATCCATAACTAAACCTTTTTTGTTTAAATATTGCTTTTCTTTATTTATTGAATTGCTACTTGAGTGAGAAATTGCTCTACGTTGAGACAGTTACACGATCTTGAATATCTTAATGTTGCATTCAAATGTTGTGCATGTAACCAAAAGCACCCGAAAATGTTCGATGATAGTGTTGTTACTGGCTAGTTAAAAAGATTTTCCATATATATATATATATAAAATACTGCCGAGGCATAAAAACAAATATAAAAACTAAGTACACGCATTTACTACAAATATCAGTTAAAAACTTGAACTTGGACACTACTTTGAGCATGCAGAGAAAAGTCTATAAAAAAATACATTAATGAATGCTGATGAGTAATATTAATAAATATATAAGTATGTGTTTGTTAAATGCAAAATCTAGGCAAGAAATGTTTCTGGTAATTGTAATACTAATGAAAACACGCCCAAACACTAAAGTGAAGAGCGTTTGCACTCCGCCAAAAGCTAATCTTAGAAATAGTTTGGCACACATTATTTTTTAAAAAATTGGCCCCCTAATCAAAGGCCACCTTGCGCGTAAAGGAGGTGAGCGACGATATTTCACTGGGATTCGAATCGGAAGGCAGATTGCTGAATTCGATTTCTTCGCTGGCGGCGGAAGCAACAATATTCTCATTGGACTGTGTCGTCTCGTCGCTGTGACGCATGGTGGGCCATTGCTTGTGACTGGGCGCATACAAGATGATCAGGGCGAATATGTAGATGTTCCACATGCCATAGACTCCAGTGAGAAAGGCCGAGGTCAGCTGAATTTCAATATCCTCATTCCATTTCCAGTGTCCCTCGGCCATTTGGCCCATAATAAAGCCGGCGACGGTCAAACCAGCGCACAGCAGAGTAGCCAGCATAAGGAATTTGAAGCGGTATATAAGGCCTAAAACAAAATAACTTCCATGTGTACAGTGTATATCACGTATTGCTCATGTTTAACAACTTAAAATAAAACTGGTTATTAACAATCAAAAGTTTCTTTACTTAGTGAACAGATAGATGGCCACAATAAGGCCGTAAAGACCCAGTACTTCGGCAAAGATCAATATCAAAACGATTCCCACGAATAGCTTTGGTTGCAGCGCAGAAGCCCGCACACCGGCATCGCCCACAATTCCAATGGCAAAGCCAGAAGCCATACCAGAAAGACCAACGGCTATGCCAGCGCCCAGATTGAGGAAGGCCATATAGCTGTTGTACAGTTTAGACAAAGAACCGGCCAGCAGCACAGAGACGACCAGGCCGTAGATGGCAATAATGCCTGCCATAACAACTGGTATGATAGCCTTCATAATTAGTTCCGGATGTTTCACAGACATAGAAGCGATTCCCAAGCCAGACTTCGCTGTTCCATAGGCTGCGCCCAGCGCCGTAAAGACTATGGCCGTGGTGGCGCCCATTACACAGAAGAAGCACGCGTAAGCCGGCTGATCCATTGTCGCTTCCGGATCGTGCATTTTTATAAATATTTATGAACTCATACACAGGATACACAGAAATATAATGACAAGATCCGACTAGCTAAACTTTTCCATTATGTTGGAAACTGAACGCCTACTGTTTAATAAATAATTGTTAACTCATTTAGCTAATAGTCTTGACTCACCCTCGTAGTGGAGACGTCGCGCTTGTGACATGGATGGCAATGATGTGCGCTTGTCGCCAATGTCCTTAAACACCTTCCAGACCATGAAGCACAGGAAGAGAAAGTAAATGGCAGCCGAAACGCCAGCAAGTACAATAAAACTCATAGCCACTTTGGCGCCGAGCGGCGTTGTCCAGATGGAATAGAAGGGATTGCGCAGCTGTACACCGCGCTCGCAAATATCAAATACGAACAGCGAAATGCAGCCTACAACGACTGCGGACAGGTGCTTCCAGTAGCGCGAGCGTATGGTTGACTTGTTGGGCGTATCCTGTATCAGCATGTGCTCTCCCGCAAAGACCAGCCAGAAGGATAGCAGCATCGCATAAAAGATGCCCTGTCGCACATCGCTCAACAGCAGCATGTACGGCATTTCTATGCTCAGGGTAAGGTACTCCAATGGAAGATTCAAAAAGCTCAGGGCACCGCCCAAATACAGCAGCATGTACTCCAGCAACGCCGGCGAACGTTGGAGTATGTGGACTCGCCTCCAAAACCAAATCATAATGCCGACCACAAAGGGAAATAGCAGGGTCTTGAGCAGAAGCCAAACCTGGGTGAAGCCGCCGTTCTGATGTATGGCCGTTAGTGTTAAATCATGCATGTGACCAAACTGCAGATTCATCCGCTTTGGTGTGTCTATGGGAAATCGCAGGTTAAGCAGATAGAAGTTATGATGCAGTGCGCCCAGCTCGAACAACGGTATTATATCACACGTGTATAGCGTCTCCAAGAGACCAACGTGCGCTGCGTGACAGTCCAAATAACGCTGTTCCACGCTGTGCGCATACAACTTCCAGTCTGTATCAGCATCCTTTTTGTTGCGATAAGCAAGGCGTGTGTCAATTGTTAGCTGCAGCTCCTTGGGTGGCTCCCTCAGTTCAGAGGATGAGTCATACGCAATGTCTACCTGCAGCACTCCAATGAGATTCTGCTGCCAGCGCGAGTAGTCCAGTGTACGGTTGTCCCGTGGCAACGGCATTTGGAACACGTACACCAATTGATTGGCCATCTTTAACGGATCCTGCTCGATATCCATGTCCTGCAGAGATTTACAAGCTCCATTTCCGCGCGAGTACAGAAAAAAATTGGTGTCATTTTGACGGCCCGGCACATCGCGACATTTGATGCCCACCACGGTCTGATGACCGGCGGGTACAGGCGCATACAAGCCACCCATAAGGAAACAGGCCACTTGACACAGCATCAGGCTACTGACCAATATGGACAGTTTGCGTCCGCTTAAATTTTCGAGAATTGTTCCCGACATTTTGGCTAAGATGGCAATCACTATTTCTGAACGAGGCAGGCTATTCCTTTGTATCTGCCGCTTAGGTAAACAATTTTTATTTGTTTTAGATTCACGCTATAAAAAGAATTGAATATGTCGGCTGTCGGCGACACAAACAAAGCGGCGTTCGTATACAGAATGCTAGGGTTGTCACCTAGTGCAAAGTCCGATATGCAAACAGCTGTTGATAGTTTTAACAAATCTACTATATGCTCCATCAAGTATCAATTGCTTTGTTCTGTCTTATTGCTAACAGTTTGGTTCAATTTTATTTAAATAAAAATAAAATTATTTTATCATGCTATCATGCTGACAGCTCCGGCTAATCGAAACTAGTTTCGATACTTTCCGAGTATCGATAACAATACATGCAATGCTTACACTGCAAGATTATCGGTCGGTAAGGACAACAAAATTATTCGAATTCACTGGGCGCGTACAAGATGATCAGGGCAAATATGCCCACATGCCATATACTCCAGTGAGGAAAACCGAGCTGAAATTCAACAACCTTAGAGATTTTGTGAGAGAGCTCTTGATCCGCTAACCAATACAAACGCTACAGTGATCAATGAAAAAAGCTTGCCAGCGCTGGCACAACGGACAAAAGCCGTGACAGCGACTTGATCACGGCAAATCGCATTTTGGGAACGGTCACTTTATCACAATTACTAGTTATTTTTTAAGGAAACGCTAGTTCCTTAATATAACTACCCTTTCTTGCTGTTGCCTTATTTATTTTCAAACAATAACTATTAACGTGGCGTACCCTTCTCACCGGTATACCCGCTCACTGATGGAAGATCTCCACCGCACTCGAGCTTATTGGAACACGCCCCAAAACCACCAATTAGACTTTCCAGCCCATCCCATCAATCCCATCAATAAACTAAACAGCTGGAGCCACTTGCTAAATTTAAAATTTATTGTTATCACTTTTCTTCTTTTTTTCTAGCTGTCCTATCTACGGTTAGTGGCAGCACACAGCTTTCAAACTTTTTTATTTGCTTCGATAGTTTGCCAAATATCGATAAGAAAAATACTCGTGCTAGAAGGTTACCAGACTTTTAAAAAACTATAAGCGATATTATGACAGCGAACTCAAAGTGAGTGCATTTTTATTGCATGTTTAATTAAATTATCTTGAACGTAGGTCAAACTACTATTTTATTATTATTTTATATTTTATGCATATAGAGAAAGTTATTTATATATTATATAGACAGTTTCCAACTCTATCACGGATATGCGTATATTGCTCATTTCTGCTGCTGAAACAGCTGTAACAAACACCTGTTCGCCAATGTTTTGAAAGAAAATTTTGGACGAAAATGCAACGAACACCTGTAAGTGCGCTTGAAACATTTGTGCAAGATCATGATTTAAATTGTGGTGCATATACAGCATCTAAGGCTGTTATTTCGTTTTGCCAACAGGCAACTATGCAGGAGTGAAGAATTTCATAGCAGGCGCTCCACCGCCCAGAAGTTGAACAAGCCCCAGCGCCGATGGCAGAGTGTGCCTTATGTGCGATTGGGGGTTTTGCTGGCAGGAGCTGGCGTCATTGTCTATGATGGCATTGTCAACGAGTTCACCTACTGTGGGGCATCTGTGCGTTTCGCCCGCTCACTGAAAACTGCATCATTGATAGCTGTCGATTATCTGTGGCTGAACAAGAATGATCCGGAGTATGAAATCAAGAAAAAAGTAGTGCATAAAAGTAGTGCGAACCGCCTATTAGAAACGTGTCTGCTTAATGGTGGCCTCTACATTAAGGTGGGCCAAGGATTCGCAGCCATTAATCACATTTTGCCAATTGAATACACAAGTACACTATCAAAGCTGCAGGACGAGTGTCTGCCAACCTCAAAGTCCGATATACAGAAAGTGTTTCGCACTGATTTTGGCCAGCTACCCGAGGATATATTTAAAGAATTTGATTACAAACCCGTTGCGGCCGCGAGTCTGGCGCAGGTCTTCAAGGCGAGGCTACAGAGCGGCGAGCAGGTGGCCGTCAAAGTGCAGTATAGCGATTTGCAGAAGCGTTTCATCAGCGACTTGGCAACTATTATCTTTCTGCAAGACATAATCGAGTTTATCTTCAAGGACTACAATTTCGGCTGGATCTTAAATGATCTCCGCAAGAATCTTGTGCATGAGCTCAATTTTGTACAGGAGGGTAAAAACGCTGAGCGCTGCGCCAGGGATCTACAAAAGTTGAGCTACGTGCGTGTGCCCAAGGTCTTTTGGGGCCACACTAAGACAGTGAGTAGTTAATTGATTCAATTACAATGCCCCCAATTAATTTAGTATCCTTCAGCGTGTGCTTACACTTGAATGGATGGACGGGCTTAAAATTAGTAACATGGAGGGCATAAAGAGGATGGGCCTGCGTCTGATTGACATCGACCATAAGCTATTTAAAGTATTTGCAGAGCAGATCTTTCACACTGGATTTGTGCATGCGGATCCACATCCCGGCAACAGTGGGTAACCAAATAAAAAAACTCCAACCGCTTTAAGAAAAAACTTAAAACTTTCTTCTCAGTATTTGTGCGTAAAAGTGCCACAGGTGGCGGTGCGGATATCATATTACTGGATCATGGACTCTACGAGGAGCTTCCTCCTGATGTGCGGATTCCTCTATGTGAATTCTGGGAGGCCACCGTGCTGCGCAATGAGCCACGTATGAAGGCAGCTGCGAATAAAATGCAGGTTGTTGATCATATGAAGTTTGCCGCGGTGCTCTTCCAACAGCCCATCAAAATGGAGGGTGGTCGCATACGCAGCAAACTCACACAGGAGGATATCGACTATGTGCAGAAGGTAGCCAAGGAAAACTTTGATATCATAATGAGCACCCTTAAGGAAATGCCGCGCAGCTTGCTCTTTGTGGTGTGAGTGAATTGTTCTTAACAAACTAGGAGAAACTATAACATGATAATAACAATTTATGTTTATGGCCTTCCAGTCGCAATCTGAATACTATACGGGCCATTGGCGATATGCACGGCGATTTGGTGGACCGACCGCGCATCATGGCTCGCTGTGCCCAGAGTTGTCTATACAAGCAGAGTAGGTCGCCGATCCAGTATATTCACTGGTTATACCGACGCATATTCTTTGAGTACTGTCTATGGGCGTCTGCCTTTAGAGTCCGCTTGTTGGATTGGTATTTCAATTTCCTGTATCTGGTGGGACGGGCCCCAGCAGGCGCCAGGACACTTATGCGAGACATTATGAAACAGGAAAAGCAAGCAAGCAACCATTACTAAACAAAAGAATATTCCATCTTCAGTCATTAACCATTGTTGCATTTGATGTTAAATGCAATTCTTGCATATATTTAGAAACATGTCTTTCAAATTTTTTGTAACATGTCATGTTAAATTTTTGTAATTGGTCCACTGTCTAGAAACTATATTCAAATTGTACCATAATAAAAGCCATTTGAAGCTATCAATGTAATGGACATGGGACATGTACAATTCGATTATCCATATAGTTCTATTAAATCACACAACTCTTCCAAGGTTGGTTCACTCCAACAGACATTGCTAACCAACATTCACCTGCCATTTTGGTAGCCGAAGGACAGCAAATCGATACGTTTTTTAGATAAGCAAAATTTACTATTTTGTATAGGCTAATTTTGTATGTCCTGTAAAAATAGACCGAAGTAGACCAAAATACATTGCATCATTCCCAAATGAACATTTTTCTAGATATGCTATATAATTAATTCATATGATATACAATTAATTCACTTATTAATCAACTAAAAGGCGTCAATAGCTGGAATGCCTGTGGAAGGGCATACATCACTGAAATACCTAGTAATACCGATTATTAAGTTACACACATATTTCTGGCCCAAAATAGTTACAAATGGGCGTCAACAACTAGATGTTTCCGCTTGTGTGGGGCGCCATGGCAGGCTTCAACATGCCAAAATTCAGCCATCCCCCATATAAAGGCACGATTTGAGCACAAGTTAGCACTTTCACTTCTCGAACCATACATACCATATGTATTATACGATATAGCGGGTATCGCGTGGTGCACACAAAACTAAATTCAATTCAATTTCATTTAAAGTTACTTTCGTTGACTGACAGACAAGTGAGCCAAGTCCTTTAAGCCAGAATCAAGCCGTACAGTGGGCCACATCGAGCTTATATTGGACACAATTGTTAAGTTAAGAAGGGACAACAAAATATTGTAAATAAATAATTCAATAATATTTCTAATAAAGCCAGTTACATTGAATGTTGGCCTTTAAAAATATTAAATTGAAAGAATTTGAGGAGGAGCCTAGGCTCAAAGAAACCTGGGTTCACCAAGGGCTTTTCATTGGTTCGGAAAGTTAAGCGAATCAACGATAATCAATAATAATAATACAATAATCATGAACAGACATTATATATTATATACAGTCTTGATTAACGTTTCGTTCCTAGCTTGGGAAATCAATTTACTTCTGGGTTCTGTTATGTATTTATTGCATTGTGCAAGAGCTTAAGGACTTTTACATTTCATCCCATTGTTCGTGTCATGTTGCTGTTGGGCCCACGACTAAATATGAAATTAAAAATCAACGCTGAAGTGTGAAAGGCCTGAAATGGCGGCTGTCTGGCGGCAGTCAGGCACAAGCTCAACCTAGAACCGAACTGTATAAGCAGCTGGGGCCAACATATCGCAAGAACATTTGCACACAAGTCGCAGAACGAAACAAAGGTCTCGAGCGGAAATCGAAATTAGCTGAACGTAAAAGCGGAAAAGTTCCTTCGTCAATTAGCACAATGAACAAGGAGTTTATCATGCAGGGCGGCACGCCTATAACCTGCGAGCTGGCAACGGTAAACAACGACTCTTAAATGCATGAAGCCTTGGCTAATCCTCTCCTGAATTGCCACCACGTTTAGGAGCTGCGCAAACTGGTCTTTGGCACCGCCGCCATACCCATGCGTGCCGAGTGGCTGCAGACGTCCTTTGTCTTTGGAGCACCGCCCAAGGAGGAGCTGGCATACGGCCTGCGCTCGCCACGAAATGCCACGCGCGGCATGCTGTCCGTGGTTCAAGGTTTCATATTAAAGTACCTGCTCTTTGCCCGCAAAACCAGCCGTGCGACTGCTACGACTGAGTGCGTCCTGTCCATCAGTGGAACCTTTCGCTCGCTAAAATGAATTCGTCTGTGTTTTTGCTTGCAGTCCTTTGTTCGCCACCGCCGAGATGCAGCGAGAGGCACTGTTCAATGCTCTGGTCGAGATATTGCGCACCATTTCGGACAAGGGCAAGGTTACCATGGTGCTGCCTTCGGAGGATGAGGTGTTTGTGGATCACAGTGCCAGTTACTTTCACGATACGGTGACCGAAAAGGTGAGCCTGTCGTGATTGCCTCATCCATTTTTGAGAGCGTGTACGCAATTTGAAATATTTTCTAGTTTAAACAGCTGAAAACTTAAGATTCTATTTAAAATTAAATTAAGTATCAAACTGGGTAAATCATCACGAAAATATTATTTTATATTCGCAGCTTTATACATTTACACTCTCGCCCAACGAAGAGCTGGAACACTTTATGAAGCGAAACTTCAAATACGTAAGAGATCAAGTTGCGGAAATTGCTTTAACCAAAAATTGAAGCAATTTCTGTAGCACAAGCTATATGTATTATATATTTATATATATATTTAGTATTTTATTTGATGTAACAAAATATTTGCCTAATATGATCTAAAAGTTTACAGAAGAGGAAACGCCGGGCACTCTGCTGTTCCTTTATAGCGCTGTACTCACACGCTCGATGGGAAAGTAAGATTTCAGCTAAAGCGAGTGCATTTCATATATTTATATTTTATAACCATAAATTTCTCATAACCATAACGATCTTTTTCACTTCAATGCGGCCAACACTCATTTCGATGCAACGCAGAGTGCGCACGGACTTGGACTCGACAAAGTCATCGCCGCTGACGATGAGCAACCACGAGGAGGGCTCCCTCATGATAGTCACCCTGCTGTTGACTGGCCGTGCCACGCCCTATATACACAATGGCGTTATCAATGTGGGCGACGAGAATAGCTATGTGCGTAGCAGGAGGAGACATTGAATAGCGCAGAGATTGAGATTCCATTCAATTTTGCAGGCAGTGCCACAGTATGGAGTATTGAAGCGCTGCATGATCGGCTTGCTCCTCTGGGACATTGAGTCTGCCAGCGTGAGTAGAGTTTATGCCTGTTGGGTAAACGTACTAAACTAATCAGGGCCGGGCCGACAGGCTGCTGTTAATCAATCGAGGCAGCCGGGCTCGCGCCTGAAGACGCCCAACTATCCCATTTGGATAACCAGCTGCACGGGTCACTTTGGCGTCATTTTCAATCGCAATCCGGACTTGCTGCGCAATTATCATGCCGAGTCGCGCTTTGATGTAAACTATTACAGCTGTTCCGGCCATCAGATACTGATGACCATCGATAATCGCACCTACAATGAGCAGGCATTGGTCATGTTGGAGCGACAACCAATCACACCGGAGAGTACCTCGCTAACGGGCAAGCAAGCCGGCAAGGATGAGGCCGTTACGGCTGGAGGTGCTGCTGCCGGTGTTGGTGTGGCTGGCGCTAGCGGCGGTGTTGGTGGTGCTGCTAGTGGCGCTAGCGCTGGCAACGATGTGGTCGCCAAGGAGGAGTCAATGCTCAACACGCCATTGCAGCGTTTGATTCATACCAAGTGGGAAGAGGCAACTATAAGCTTTCACGTGCAGCCATCGATGTTGAGTTATCTTTTTAGTACCACACAGTAGACAGAGATCAGCTAATACACACTCGAAAAGTATCTATTTCGAAGAGAAGTTAGGAAATACGATTCATATGAGCCCATCACATAAGTTTGCATCATACGAATCACGCCCGTTTTTTTTGGTACTTTTAGAGCTTAAATAGCTTCAATAACTTAACAATTATAATATTCATAATAGAGCAGTTAAAGTAATCGAAACACTCATTGAGGCATTGCAGCTAGCTTGTTATGTTGTCTCTTGATCTATGATATAAATCGACTTTCTTGGCGAATGACCAATTCAACTCTCCACGAGTCAATGCACCAATTATCTGCCTATACCGATATGCCCTTCACATCAAACCAAGTAAGTCATTCAAAGAACAAAATATATTTATTTGGGTAAACATTAGCCGTTCCTAGAACTCCTTCTACTATTTTCTGTTTATTCACAAATCGTAAAATCTCATAAGAGACAAACTTGTTTAATATTTGTTTTGTTTACAGCTTATTTATTATTTTAAATAATTAATATTTATTTGGTAATGTTTTGCATTCTGTTGAATTTAATTATAGCCATTTTAATGTTTCTCGAATGCTAGATCCTAAGCGGAATCATGATAAAGGCAAACCCATTTCTAGTCTAAGCTCAATTTTTAAGACATACTAAATAGCCAGAGTTTCCCATAAGCTCTCCAGCATAAATACTTAGTTTTAACTAGTATACCATCTAGTGCCATGACTTGTAAGCTTTCTAGTTAACAACTTTGCACCATTTTGTAGAGACATGCATACTCTGCACCTAGTTTACATAGAAATCTACTGTTGCTGTCTTCAGAACATTGAATGGGTATTTTAAGAAGATAAAGGAAAGTTGAAGTTCGAAACGAAATTCTCAAACAGCGATGGTAAATACACGTAAAATATTCCGAGTATCATAAAAAAAAACAACAACAGGCAAATTTGTTGAAAAACCTGCTGATACCTATTGAATTTTTACAAATATGCCTGGTTAAAATGTTACTGAGGCCTCTCTCTATCCATAAAAAGCGACTGCAGGAACTCAATACTCAACGAATTGAGGTTGCCGCCTGGAGCCACTAGACGAAACAAAAAGTCCTGTACAATTATGAAACACCAACATACTTCGAAAATTTCAATTCACTGCACTTTATTTATTCCTAAGCAACTCGCAAAATGTAAAAAAAAAAAAATACATATACAATTCTAAATAAATGTACAAGCTTTTAAACCGAGAATTTCTGAATTTAATTTGCCACGGAAGAACTTATTAAATATTTTTGAAATTATTTTGAAGCGGATCGAATGGTAAGGAAAAACTTTCATACAACAGTTTTTCGCTAATTGATCACTGGAATTTCCTGGAATTCGCTGGAATTTCCCAAATCGCAGAAACACTTATTTATTAAGTTCATTTCGGACAAAGTTTAAGACCTAGCCCAAAAAATCGTAAAATTGCGTGAAGAAAGTTTGGATTCTGCAAAAAGTGTGAAACACGCCTCAAATGATTTTTCGTATAGATGCTTTGAAATAAATGTGAACACGAAACGTCACCCACCAAATCTTTTCTCCCCAATTTGATGGATTTTCCAAAAACTGTGAAACACTCCTCAAAGGAATTTGTACAAAGATCTTTGATAATTAGTTTGGGAATTGATAGAAATATATATGTAGCATTTAAATAAAATATATTTTTTTATGTATGTGGCTTTCATAATCTCTGATTATTAATTAATACAAACTTACCATCATTAGTAATGTGTCGCCTCGCAGCTTCAACCAAAGCCCATCTACAATGGGCAGCCCTTTATATACTGTTGGCTGCACCTGCTGTTAACTAACATGATCTGTTATTCATATTTAATGTAAATTTCCAATCCGACCATTCCTACCGGCCCGCCTCCCAGCTTTGACTGAAGTCCTGATACAATGGGCAGCCCTTTTTATTCCCTTAGCTTCACTGTTGTGAGCATATATACGTGATCGGTTTTTGGCCACATTGAGAATTAAAATATATTATATATGTTAAATTTGTGTTTAAATATTTAAGAAATATTTTATTAAATCTTGTTACACAAAAATGATTGAAGTTCCTCGTTATCTATTTACCAGTTGTTATTTGTAACGATTTCTCTTTATTAAAAATGTGTTTTTGGTATTGTTGAATAAGAGAATAGTTTACTCGTTATTGTAGATTGGTTTCGTAATTATATTATGAGTGGAAATAGTCGAGAATATTTGTATAATATATGCTTTAAAGAATTTATAAGAATATTTTAGTTTCTTGCCATAACAATTCACGAAGATTTACCCTTGAGATTAGTTAATATATATTATTTAAAGATTTTGTAAGTTCCTAACTAAATTTTGTTTAATACTCATACTTAAATACTTAAGAATTATTGTAATTGTATAAATTGTAGTTTATCATTATATTCATTATTTAATACCATTTTTCTTGTTGTTGTTGTGAAGATTTCAGTAATTTGAAATTTCTATTTATATATAGTCGCATACTTTTTGGGTATAATCTACAAAAATATCTTTAATTTGGAACTCGCATTCAAAGAAGTTTATTTCCCATAAAGTTTCAATGTATAAAAATGTAGATGTCGTTACAGATAGGAATATTCAATTAGGTATTTGTTGGTAATTATAATTTTCTTTTAGTTATGTTTATTAACTGCCACTTTTTGTAATTGAATTCCATCAGCAAGTCGATTATCTGCTGTTCCCAAACTATTTGCAGCTCTTGCTGTTCAATTGCCATTACCCACGGTATCAGTTGACACGCGATTCGAGGCCCGCGGTCCCAGCTCATGTGACCAAATCATCGGGCACTTCTTTATCTGGCACTGTAACACTGTATGCCTGCCTGTCTGTCTGACTGTCTATCCGTCTGGCAGTCGGCATGTCTGTCTAGCTGTCAGTTTGGGGTCTGGAGCAACGTATGTCAGCATGCATTATTGAAATGGTTACGGCCCACATTTTAGCTGCTGTTTGTTTGCTTATCGGATGGATTCTTCGTAGCTCTGTGCATAAATAATATATAGTAGCTCGATTTTAGCCACACACATTGTGCCTTGACCTGCTGCCATGATTATTTAAATTACTGACAATACTCGAAGTTAAAACAAAATTTAAGTTATTAGAAAGGAATATCAATAAACAAATCTTATCAACGGATGAAACTTTCATAAGCCGGGAATTTTGCGTTAAAAAATATTGCAAATAATTTTTGTTTAATTTCAAAATTGGAACGCAAGGCACACACAATGAAATAAAATTACAATGTATTTTAGGAACAGAAACCATAAGTGTATACTGCTTGGACGTGCCCTAACGAACTATCTTGAATGGGAGTGCAAAAAACAGTTGAACTTATTAACTAAACCTTAAATGTAGGCTGTTGTCTTTCATAAAGTAATGCACTTAAATACTTTTCGCTTATCAAAAATTTACCATCTTAAATTGATTTATGGCTTCAGCCATGAACGTGTATTGCGAGTATATACAAAATAGATAGAGGATACTATAATATACAATACTAAAAGGTATATACTGTCTGTGCAGCGGAGTCTAAACTATGTGGTTTCAAATCAAGCCTTGGCCATGATTTCAAATACCGTATAAACTTGTGCGCTTAGAGCCTAACTAAGTTACATTTTAATGTGTATATGTATGCGTCTATCTGTATGTGTGGTTACATTAATAATTTACATAATTTAGTCTGTGCAAACTAATGATAGTCGTTATAAAGAGACGACTTAAACACAAGTTTGTACCTGTACAACTGGTCAAAGCCGTGGACACTTTGTGAGCTCACTCGCTGCATACACAATCGTATAGCAATCGTATTCGCATACACTTAACTAAGCCTAACTACACTTGGACAAGGTGGCGTCCCCCGTTCTACGGGCGCACCAGCAGCTTCTCTATAAACGCCAAGTTTGTATTCCCATAGCGTGTCTGGTTGAACGGCAGAGCAGCCGGATTCTTTTTCGTCTGTGTGTGCCAGGTGAGTATCTGCGGACACAAGTATAATGGTTATGCGATTAGCTGTCTGAGCATAACTGAAACTGAACTCGGGATTACCTCTCTGCACTCGTCGGCCAGCAGCTCAATCTCATTGTTCTGCAGCGGGGCCAGGCTGCGCAAGAACCCATCCTCCTCGTAGCCCGGCTTGAATGGCATCTTCGCATGCGGACGCTCGTGTAAAAATTTGACGCTCACCGCAAAACCGGCCATATCGACGGGATATTTGCGTCCCCCTATCCAGCCATCGTAATAGCCATCCAGTTTGCCCTCACGTATAATGGGACTGCTGACACCAGTTTTGGTCACTAGACCCACTGGCCACATGGACACCTTTTTGGTATAACGCATCTGAAACGGTATTTTCAAATTTAGAAAAATTGAGATTCCAAAAACTTTCTTAGCTAACACTTAAATCTGCAAGCATACTCGTTGAAATTGAAAATCGCATAGAAAGGCGCTATTTAACTAGCGCTTCTCTATGCGCTCTTCAATTATTTAAATAATGCTTATGGATGCGTTTGAGTGCATTTAATATGCTGCGACCTTTTAGTTACACACCTGTTCAAATATGTTAACATCGTAGGTGTTATCATCGTCGGCAAAATATAGAACCCCCTCGGTGGCATTTGCGCGCAGATAATCAAGTCCTCGATTCCGATTGGAGACACCGCGGGGCTTGGCACGCTTCGTCAGCTTGTACTGCTCGGGCATAGGGGCTGTGCGGAAGGTTGTTAATAGCACACAAATGGAGGACAAACATTTTAGGTATAATACTCACCGACCAGGTACTCATAGGGCACACCAATGCGATCCAGGGTGTGAGCGACCAGCGGGTTGGTCTTGTTGGCATCCTCGATAACCAGCCAGAGCAGGTTGAGCACATGCTTCAGGGTGTAACCGAGTCGTGTTAGCTCCGCCAGCTGTTCAGGGCGTCGATAAGTGGGCGTGATGATGTACAATGGCGGCTAAGATGGGCAAGAGTTGCGGTATTAACTAATGCCATGAAGGGTCTATAGTATTATCTATTATAAGGAATATGTCTGTGTGTGTGTGCTAGGGTGTGTGTGTGTGTGTGTGCATGTGCCAGGGTGTGTGTTTACATGCGTAACGCGGCATGAGCTCCCGTTTTATGAGCAATTATGCAAATTAATCCACAGGCAAGCAGTTAACTAGTTGACTAGTTGACCGGGTTTAGCTGCGTGTCGGTATTCAGTTGGGTTACTCGTTATACTATAAGCAGGCCACTCAAATGGCACACTCGCACACACACTTACACACACGCTGTGAATGCTGCTGGTGTGGCAAATAAATATAGCCGCCGCGCACTTTGCAAATTGTCCATTGTTGACACACAAAAATGCATTCAAATTTATTTGCAAAACAAACACAGACATTCAAATAAATGAAAGGGCACTGAAGCAGAGAAATGCAATTCCAAAAAAAAATATATGTGTATATATAAAAAAAATAAAATAAAATAATAATAATAATGGATTTGCATGAAAAGTAGTAGTATTTTAGCTGTCTGACCAAGTTCAGGTGCTTGTATTTGGAACTAGTTCAATTATTGTCATTGGAACAAGTGGAATATACGTGGAAATGGGAAATTTGCGCTAAACACAAAATAGTTTTGTGCAATTGGTAAATGGAAATATACTAAATAAATATTAATTATGGTTATTACAAATATTGTTATTTAAATAAATTATTCATATTATAATTATTATTTGTAGTATTATTATTACATCAAGTATATTGATTATTTAAATTCATAGAATTAATTATAATAAGCTAGGTTTGAATCATATAAATAAAAAAATATATAATATAGTTGAACCAATGGAACCCGCCTTTGACATTGAGTGTAGGGCATTTGTAGACATTGCAACTACTAACTGAGAGAAACTCACAAATGCGCGAATCTTTTTCAATTGCCTTGCATTTACCATGCATTTTAGAATCTGGATCATCACGGCAAGACCTCCTGCCCTCCCACTCTGGCCAGCACGCCGTTTGGAACTGGAACACCCCCTTAGCATGGTGCCATTGAATGGCGGTAGATTCGGTTGCTTTCATTGTTGTGGTTGTGGTTTCGGTTTTTAGGTTTCAATGTGCAATGAGCAATTTTTAAATTAGACTCATGCAAATTTCGTATACAGAATCATTTTGTTTGCACATTATTTATAATTTGGAGTGCCATCTGATATATTGCAACTGATTAACCTAAAAAACCATGCACCAGTTTATAATGCAAACAACTGGATTGCAATTTCTGTGTGTAGCTTGGTTAAACAAATAATGTAATTTTGTGCGTCAGACAAAGTCCCATTTCGTAGCCATATTATGCACAAATTGCACATATTCAACGGCATAATACATGTTATTAACAAATACTCGGACTGTACAATCCAACTGAATTAACTCAACAAACAACGCTGCGAAATTTGTGTACTCATCGGCTGATGACAATGCCAACGAGTTGGCTAATTTATTATGGAAAGGACATTTGCCAAGACACAAGCACACAACATCAATCAATCCATTACTTGTCTGTGTAGTGTAATAGCTGCAGGTACATAATTGAGATTGGAATACGCTAGACATATTCACATTACATGTGCCGCACCCTACGCTACAGTGTTGGTAAACTTAAGAATAACGGACTAGAGCTTACATCATGCTGACTGACTGAATGACAAACTGATTGATGATGCATGCATCGCTCAAGCCGCCAATGTGGTTTGGAAATACTTGACCTTAAGAGTGATAACTAGGTGGAATGCTAATAGTTTAAATATTTGTATATATACACACATTTTTATACCCTGAACCCATTGTATTTTTGCAAATGTATGTAGTAGGCAGAAGGAAGTATCAAGCAGGATCAACAGTCATGTCCGTCTGTCTGTCCGTCCGTATGTATGAACGCAAGGATCTTAAAAACTATAAAAGCTAGAAACTTGAAATTTTAGCTTTAGGTCCTCCTAATCCATTCGCAGATCGAGTTTGCGTCCGATAATCGATAGCTTACTCCGTTTCCAAGCGCACGTGTTTGCGACGCATATTCGAAAATGTTCTATATAAGTACATGTACACACACATTCATGGGCGTCTGCTTCGTATTCGATTGTATTGTTTTCTGTGCTGCTATTTTAATTTGTTTTTTTTTTTTCTAAAGATGTGGCTATTGAGTAGAGTCAGTGGCAAGTGGCGCGGTATCTCGCGAGTTCAAGTCCTACCGAGGAAACTATTTTAGTCGGCAGCAAGTAGTGTGGTTAGTTGCGAGTTCGAACTTTGCCAAATAAGCTATATTTTATTTTTTAATTTATATTTATTACTACAAACGAGCTGCATTTGGTGTTCAGGGTATCCCCTAGTCGGTAACTCCCGTCTAGAACCCATTACTTGTTTACATTTTATACAATCAACTTTGAAGATTTTAAACACTTGCATGGCAATAGAACTGCATGGACTCTAGAATTTCTAACCAGATGTTAACTTAAAGGTAATGGAAAACTGTAGCCCCCCATAAGCCGTTGCTGTAAATATGAAAAGCACTTGTGCTCTGCAGCTCGGGCAACTTAAAAAAGCAATTAAGAAAATTGGAAAATGGTTAAAGTAAAGAAACATACAGAGGCAAAAGCAATGAACCAGACAGCTGCACGAAATTGGTAGCAAGTGCAAAAATTCCCATTAAAATTTACAATCACAATATATATCTAACCATGTTCCAACAGTTTAAGCCGGACTTACAAGAAAATATGTGAGCAAACTAGATACTGACTAAACTTAGCATAACTTTAACATGCAGAAGCAAAAGAAGCAGATAAGTTGGAAAATGCAATTATGATGATTACCATGAAAAACAGTTTGCAAAATTAAAGAAAAAATGTGTCTTAAAATTAGTTTATTATTTTGTTAGTACGTTTTTTTTTTTTTTGTTATAGGAGTATGTTAAAAAAAAACACAACAAAACAATATTTACGGGCTCGGAAACGGCAACAAATGTTGTACGAATTTTATGAACGGCGCCCATTGCTTTTACCATTGACTTGTGGGCGTGGCTGGGTTGGGTTGTTGTTTTAAGTTTTTGGGCTGTTGTTGTTGTTGTTGTTGTTGCAGACACAACAGCATTGGCAACTGTTGTTGTTGTTGTCGTTGTCGTGCTTGTTGTTGTTGTGGAGATGCTTTTGTTGTTGGCGTCGGATGCTGATGACAATGTCAGTGGCAATGAAACCGTCGAGTAGAAGGACGACCCAGAGGCAGAAACCGAGTTGGATGCGGCGGAGGAGGAGGAGGAGACGGAGGACGTGTCTGTGGCATTTGGCCCATGCACCTGCACCAGTCCCTGTCCCATTGTCGTATTAATGGAGTTGGAGGAGTTGTTCAACATAGGCGGCGCCCACAAATATGAAGCGATGTATGACGATGAAGACGATGATGATGATGATGATTTTTCTGGATGCTACATCAGTTGTTAATGCATATTCATGTTTTTGGTCCAGTCAGGCATATATGTTAAGAACAAGAACAAAAGACACACTGTAATATGAGACTTATGTATAGATGCTTATATATGTTATAAGGTATTCCTAAGGAACTAGCTAGTGAATGTAAAACTAGGTTATGGAACAAATTTTTCTAAAACTTTATAATTCGTTACATATATAAATATCTAATATTTAGTCCTAGTTCTGAATAGATGGTAAGTATATTTTAAATAATTTTGGATTAATTTGGAACCAGAAAAGAAAAAACTATTATATTCTGAGTATTCTAGTTTATATAACCAAAAGAATTTACAAAAATATTCCTATATATTTTAAACTCTGTCTAGTTTTGGCATTGTCGAGAGAAGCGAATAGAGAAGCGACTATCGATAATTAACATAACTAATGCATTTCATATATCATGTTGGTTAAAGGTGGAACTGACGAAAACTGCCTCGTGAGAAGCGATTGGAGAAGCGAATACCATTGTCGAGAGAAGCGTATAGAGAAATGACTATCGATAATTAACATAACTAATGCATTTCATATATTTAATTGGTTGAAGGTGGAACTGACGAAAACTGCCTCGAAAGAAGCGATTGAAGAAGCGAATATCTGCTTAGAAGACAAAACTCCAGCTTCTACAGATTTGGTATTGTTTTTTTTTGCCGGCTTTCATCTTTCCTTTATTCTTGACAAATGCAATTTACAAGTCTGTTAACAATAATCTCAATTTGGAGACAGATTCAGCAGCTTTTCGCGTTGTCCTAGTAAAAACTTTTATTTCCTGGCAAACGCTATTGGTTTTTAATTAAATAGCAACTAGATAATAAACATCAACCTAAACATACGTGCATGCAACTAATTGTTTAATCAGCCTAACACTTTAGATATATTATGAATTGATGTATTCAGAGTGCGTAAATCTAATTAAATGTTGACTCTACATATCGACGGTCATTGCCGGGGCTTATATTTAGTACTGGGTTGGTGCTGGGTCTTATCAGTAACGTTATCAATAGGTATATCCATAACATTCTATTAATGGATGGCACTAATTCCATTCATTTGGGGCACTCACCTTGACGAGCTCGTTGGCGGCGAGGGGCTGTCGGGACATGTGATATTGGTAGAGCACCATATAGATGCAGGTCGTGGCTATGAATATGGTCAGGTACATTTTAATGGATTTTCCCAGCGCCATTTTATTGCTGAGATTTTCATTCACTTTCGATTCTTTGGCCTGTGGCAGAAGCATTTGTTGATTTACTTTCAGTTGTTCTTGTTGTTGTGTTTAGTTTTTTGTGTTGTTTTGGTTTTGTTTTTTTTTTTTTTGCGTGTTGGTTTTGTAAATCTTCTTTGGTATTTTGATTTCATTCGTTTGGTTTTGCTTGCAACTTTTCAGTATTAAAATTTTCTTTTGCTGATTTTAGTATTCTTGCTTTATTCTCGATACGCTTTGCCAGCATTATTCTCTGTAGTTTTTGATACCTTTTTTCACGCTTATTCTGATTGTTTTACGCTGTGGGCGGCAGAATCAAGTGCCGGCTACGCAGTGTTATCTATAAGAATTTCAAATTTATTACAAATTTGTTTTTATTTTAAATAAAATAAGTCATCTCTAAAGTCTTGAGTTCTTTTAGAGAATATACGAAGTTAGTTCTTTGCAAATATCTAAGAACTAATTATAAATAATTTTTGGACTCACATTTATTTATCTTTTGGCTCAACGAACACCTGTAAAAAATAGAGAACATTCAATGAAATATCAAGCAATCCATCATAGAAAATTAAGATGAATACAATTTTTATATCAAGTTACGAGACCGTTTTTATAATTATAAAAAATGCATGACATTAATTAGCCAAAAAACATTTCATCATTTTAAATGGGCAGCTGCAAGAGTGTAGATAATGCTATCGAACGCACAAAAATACATAAAATATATATTTACAAAAAATAAAACACACACACCCAAATTGAAATGTTATCAATTAAACTTGAACGCAGGCAAAGGGCAACAGAAATTGGCTTAAGAATCAATACATCAAACGACGCTAATTATGTTTGATGTACTGACAACCAATTGGGAGGAGGAGTAGAACGAGTTACCCCAATGATAAAGAACTTGAAACGATAACGAACTGTGTGTGACAAGTGCCAATGAGAGTCTCTCTAATTAATTGACAATAACTAACTAAGAGATGCAGAAAATTGAGAAGCCATCTGGCAGGTTGACTAGAAGTCGCTGCATATTATAAGTATATTGATATCAATATTATTTTCAGCTTTGGCCCATTGTCGAACATTTAACTACATTTTATGGGAAGTGAAATGCGACATAATAGTATGAAAGTTCAACTTGTGTCCAGCTTTAATACCCTGTAAACACACATTAATTATTAAAGTATGTCTGCAGAAAAGGATCGTTTTAAGCAAAATGTATTAATTTTTATAGTTTATAGCATAAATTAAGTTGTTTGTACTTAAATAATATGTGTAAAACGCTTTGGGTTTAATTAATTGAGATAAAATTAAAAGAAGCATATATACATATTTATATGTATGTATAATATTGACTCTTTAGTTGGAATTTTTCTCGATAAAGCAGCGTTTCGCGATTCCTCCCTCTTTTTTTGTTATTTAATTTTTTTCTTTTTATGTACAAACTCTTTCAATTATAAGTGGGCGTGGCCGCTGCTTGTTCGCATGCTTAAACATTTTAAAAAAAAAACATTTTGCCAGTTGCCTGATACGAAAGTTCATTGGCCAAATTTTAAAATTGTTTTTGCTGCGCTTTGCATTCCGAGCTGGCCAAAGTTGGGCGCCGCCTTAGCATAGAGTGAAGTGAGCTGGTGCAAAGTTCTTACAGCGAAAACATTATGAAATTGCAAACATAAGGGTTATAGGAACTTAAGTTTGCAATTAAGCCGCGCTCAGGGGGGGCTCGGTCTTTAAGCTTAACATTGTTTTTAGCTAGTTGAGTTGGGTATTCGGTAGGAAGTGCTTCGGATAAAAAACATTAACAGGAAATAGCGAATGGCAGACACACATATTGTAGTCTATTTGAGTGGACATTTACTCTAACATTTATTTATTTCAATTTCAATCTAAATGCCATTCAATTTCAGGCATTTGTCAGCACGCAAATATAATATATTGCACAGCCTTGTTTAGCCCTGCGGCAATCGCGAATGTTTTATTGAATAAAATGGGAAAATGCGCAAAGGGTTCAAGCGAAATGCGTCCGAATCGCAAAAGCTTTTCATTGAAAATTCATTTATACAACATATCGAAACAACAAAACTAAAAACTAAGCAAAATGCTTTGTAGAAGCAATTTAGTGTCAGAACTTAACCCATTTACATGACAATTCCGACCGCCCTCTGCGCTGACAAAATTACAAAAGAATAATAAAGAAAACGCTGCACACACACTCACACACACACACACACAAACACACATACACACATGCGCAACAACAGAGAGCGACATAAACAACAACACAATGCAGATAGATATTAAATTGTGGGCGTGGCAGTGGGCAAAGAAATATGCCACAAGCGAGCGCCCACTGGAGAAGTCAGCCAGGCAGGGTAGAAACAAAAAAAAAACAAGTAAGAGGTGCTAGTCGGGAGCTCCCGACTAGGGAATACCCTTAACCCTCTTCTTCCAACATCAAATGCACAAATATATTCTATTTTAGAAGCTATATGTCAAGTTTGGTGACTCTAGCTCTTATTATTTACCAAAATTGCCCAAAAAACAGGATATCGATATCGATGTTTATCGATTGATTGGAAACGGAGTAAGTTATCGATTATCGGAAAGAAACTCGATCTGCGCAGGCACTAGGAGCACCTACAATTCAAGTCCCTAACTCTTATAGGTTCTGAGATCCTTGACGAACGGACGGACAGTCGGACGGACAGACAGACGGACATGGCTAGATCGACTCGGCTATTGATGCTGATCAAGAATATATATACTTTATGGGGTCGGAGATGCTTCCTTCTGCCTGTTACATACATTTGGATTTTGCACAATACAATATACCCTTATACCCATTTTTAATGGGTTCAGGGTATAAAAACAGAAACAAGAAAGAAAGGATATTTTCGGCACGCCGAAGATTTAATACCCTTGTATCCCGTTGGCAGATATGTGACATTGTGCAGATTAAAAATGCTTAGGTTGTTAAAAATATCTTTGAAAATATAATATTTTGGCATATAAGATATATGAAGGGGGCACAGTAAAACCTATGAATGCCAAGCTTGTGTAATGTAATTAGATAAATAAACAAGTTTTCCATAAAACTATGCCAGCTATATGATATAGTGGTCCGATCCAGCTGGTTCCGACATAAATATCAACATAGATAGCTGAGAGACTATTTCGCATAGAAACCAAGAGACGGACATGACTATATCAACTCTTCTATTCATGCTGATCTAACATTTATACAATTTAAATAGTCAGAGATGCCTCCTTTTAAGTGTTACACATTTCATGACAAAACTATAATACCCTCTACAAGGGCATACAAACTGAAACAACAGAGAATGCCGCTTTAAAGTGGTCCTTGAATATGACATTATAATTTCTGTGTAGAAAAGCACAAAGAAACGGGCGAAGACATCAAACTTTTCAGCTTTATACATAGAAACTCTATTTAAAAAATTATTGAATTTCTTTATATTAAACTTAATTTTGTATTCTTTTTGCCTCATATTTGTTTAAGGATCTTATAAAAGCTAGCTATAGATTAATCTGAAAATTATTAAATTTAAAATATATTATATTACATTTATAATCTATATAGATAATCTAGCACAGACGAGTCCAAGGAAATTACTTTTAGAGTGTCTGCCCAAATAGCTGAAGCATTATATTGTAATGACTGTAAACATTGAAGGGTACATTTCTAAGCTATCAAAGAAGTTTCATAGGATGAATCAATAATCAATTAATTAAGTTTATTAAATAGCATCGGCTAACTGTGCTAACCATATAGCCAGGCACTTGGCTGGGACTCGACTTCCGATGCTGCTGCCCGATTGCATTAAGAAACTTATTCGTATATATGACCAAAAAATATTCATAATTTACTTATGCATCGTACAAAGGCGAGTTTTAAATTGAAATTGCGCTGCAAGACTAGATAATGCTCTTAAAATGTGCGATGTTCATTTCTGTTTGCGGCAAGGACAACTTGAATAGTCCTTTCAGCTCTATTTCAATTTACTTCATTCATAATCCCGTCGCCAGGCGAGGCTGCCAGCTCGTAAAATGGGCCCCACTGTGCTGAGCTGTGTGCAGCTCCCAGCTGGATGATTCCATCTGTGGGCGGCATCAACAATTGCGTCATATTTGTGGGGAGGCACGTGCTTGCCCAGATGCAGACACAAGCACAAAGCAGCCAAGTGGAGGAGCAAAAGTGAAACCGAGCAAACTCTTCGCATGATTTGTGTTGGCCCCAAGTCCTGACCCATGCCCACATATTCACATATCCACAGCCGTACCGAGATCTCTTTCTCTCTCTCTTCCTCTTTCTTGGCGCAAAACTTATTGCATTTGTCCAAAATGTAAACGAAATTGGCAGCGACGCCTCCATTTGCGATGGTTGTAAGCTCGCTGGCAAAATCATATTTCAAATTTAATGGATTAGCAAGAACTGAAAATTCCTTGCCCGGAATATCTTCGTGCCCCAATGAGTTATAGAGTATCAAGCGCTTTCTTATATCAACTAATGTAACAGCTCCAGTACGTGCTGGACGTATTTTATGAAATGTATTTTATTGCTCAAACAGTAAACGAAATGAAAAGGAACCTTTAAATATAATGAAAGTTTCCTTTTTATAGATATGCAATTAATAAGGCTATTCAAACGCAATCCATAATAATTTAATGCTTACTTTAGTAATGGGCTTATTGATCGGAATCGGCCGCAGTTTGTGCTATTATCTTATTGGTTTTTATGCTTAAGCATATTTCGGGCCATATTTATTTTATATTTTGTGCTAAGCAAGTTTCACTTAGCCCCAGTGCGAGCTGATTTATATGATTCACTCTTTATAGCCGCTATTTGTTTGCCCACAAAATATATTTAAGCTTTTTATCAAAAATTTTCCGTTCATAATATATATTTGAAGTTATCAAATAATTTTCGTTCTGATTATTGGTCTAACATTTATAATATCTGGCCCATTCAAAGTTACTTAGTAGTAAAATGTTCAAATCAAACTGATCAAATCAAATTGGTCGAGCGAAAGAGCGAAAGTCTTATCGCTGGCCATTCTCAAATAGCCTTACAGTGGGAACCCCAGCTAATGATAACTAGTGAATATTTATTTATTATATCTGAATAATTTTGATAATATACCTTTTTATTTGAGTAATATTCAAACTTAATCTGATTTTAATTAAAAACTTGAATTGATATTTTCGATATAAATAAAAGTAAAAGTACTTTTGTGGTACCGAAAATATAAAATACTTGATCTGTATATACTATATAAGAGATAGGCTCGAATAGCAGGCGATTGATATCGATATTTATCGATTTTTTAAAAATGATCGAAAACAAGCCTGGGTCCCAGAAGGTACTAAGTTCCAGCTCTTATAGGTTTTAGATGAACGATGATGACCGAGTATATATTTATTTAAGGGCTAAACCACATGGATGCATATACGTAAAACTTCTGAAATGCTCTGTTTAAGCATATTCAACATTTGACAAATAAATAGAACAAGCTTTTCGCAGGCTTATTTTTCCTCAGGTTGTTGCGCATATAGCCCATTATGCTGAACTTGAAAGCATTTTGTGAATTTGTTAGCCGAACAAAAGGCGACAAAAAAGCCGCCATCAATCGAAGGCACGCACAGGCCCGCTAGCCAGAAATGTTGTCTTTTTTTTGAGGGGAGAAACCAGCCAATGGGGCAACTGTTGCGCCCCCATAATTTGTCTGGGTGTGGCCCAAGTCAAACTGAGCCGCAAACTTAAGGCCGGAACAGTTTATGGAAGTTGGAGAAAAAAGAGGTGTGAATGGTTCTTAAAGGAACATTGAAATATTGAAGATAACACACAACCTTTCTACAATCAGCGAAGCATAAAAAAAAAACTAATAGTGCCCCATTTTGGGCTAATATGGGCAATTTATTGAATCTGTATATACTATATAAGAACCTTCATATCATGTTTGAGGTATCTAAATTTGATAACTTTTGAGCTATGCTTAAAAACGCATTTCATTTTTATCATTTATTATTATGGCATGCTTCCATTCGAGTCATATTGTTGGTATTTCGAGGGATCGAAACCCCGGAAAGGCTAAGCAAATGTTTTATTTTATAACCGATGAACAATTTAGGGATTTCGTCGCCTTCACTAATGCGTGTATGGCACGTTATCCAACGCTGATTTTTATGGAGACAATCAACTATCTGTGTAGGCTTCCATTTATTTATTCAGTTCGATAACAAAAAGTTGGGCAAAGTTTTACGTTTAAAGGTTACAAACTGATATTCATAAATAAAGTTTGACTTTTAAGGAAAGTCATTAAATGAAATTGAATACTGACTGGAATGAGCAAAACAATTATCAGTTGATTATTATACCCTAAACCTATTGAAATGGGGTGCAGAGGGTATAATGGTTTTGTCGTCGACTTTCCCATCAGGTTAATACAGGTTCCTGGGCGACAGTACCAAGTCGATCTACCAGTCCGTCCGTCCGTTCTGTCCGTTTATATAAAATTGTTGGTCTTAAAATCTATAAGAGCATTACGAGTTTGTTATCGGTCATCGATAACTCGAACTGTTTCCAAGTAATCGATAATTATCATTATCGAAATCATGTTTCTAAAGTATCTGTCTTAGGTTTCGTTGCGAGTGCTACAAAGAAAAAGGGAAGTAAACTTTTTTCTTTTAAATTTGTTTTTAATAATGCTCGTATATCCCTTCATCCACTGAATGGGCTATAATAAGAGGGAAGGCTGCATTCGGTGCTTGTAGAAGAGGCTTCAGGGTAATACCCAGTTAGAGACTATCGTCTAGAGCACGCCTAATTGTTTAATTATCATAAAGTTAAGAGCTCATTAAAATAAAACACAATGTAGTAATGAGACGGGTAACAAGGCCACTTTTGCCAATATGTGATAAGAATGTTATATATTATTATTTACATAAGTAGGACTGTTAGTATATAGAGATATAAGTATAGAGACTTGTGCGTTTAACCCATTAGCATTTGTTTTCTATGGGACGGTTGCGGTTGGGTTTAGTTTTCATGCATTGTTCTTTCTGATAACAATAAATTTATCATGTGTTAAGGCTTCGTTTGACTTCCATTTGTGTTGTTGTTCTTTTTATTGTTGTTGTTGTTGTTGATATTGTTGTTGTTGGTTGTGCTGTCGTGCGCCACAGAGTCTTGCTGTTTGTATTCTATTCAGGTTCTGCATGAACAGCATAAACAGCATTATATATATGTATATACTATATATTGTAGATATACGAGTGTGTACATGTATAATAGAGCGGAAGTTTCGATCTGCATGTGGTTATACTCGTACACTATGTACATCATATCGCAGCCGACTCATATTGTGGCAAGTTTGTTGAAATACAAGCGTAGAGCACACTGTCAAGTGCCGCAAGAGAGTGAAATTGAAAACTAGTAAAGATTATTTGATGGGGCTTTTGTAGTCCGAAACCTAAGCCTTCAATTCGGTAATAGGGTTCCTAACAAATTATTATATAATGCGCATATTAAATGTTTTATTTGATGATTCATCAGTTTCTATATTCTTGTAGCTTTCGCAATAGTCACAAAAAAATCATATTTATGTAAAAAACAATGTATATTTAAGGAACTTACTTATTTTCTAGAACAAACTGGAGCCTATATAGCTTCCATCGAAATTTATTGAGATAATATTGTTTTGTACAACAGGCATGAGTCTGCAAAATAATAAGTTAATATTCGGAAATTTCTAGAGACAAATTTTTGCTTTTGCATTTAGGCCTCTAAATGTAAGGTAAAATGTCCTCGTGCAAATGTATGTCACGTGGAAAAGGTCGTCCCTCTGATCTATAAAGTATATATGTTTTTTCAAAGCTTCGAAGAAGAAGGGTCAATCTAGACACAATCTAATCATGCCCGTCTGTATGAAAAAATAATATAAAATTAAAAACAAATACTTTGCTGATCTATGACTTGAGGTCATTTTAATTTTCGACCTACTGCTTATCACTTATCAGTTTGAGCAATTTTGGAAGACCGAGCTTCGAAGAGATTTTCATATTTCAGTCTACTTTTGTGCGTGCTGAGTCCAGTTTGGCATATGAGATATTCTATAATCGGAGCAAAATGAAATTGAATTCGTTTCTATATATGTTATATATAAGCCTCATGCTGATCATAGATAAGGCTCAAGCTAACAAAAATGAGGTAAAACTTACAATTTATTTGAACTGCACAAAATAAATTGTACCCTTCTTATTAGTCTGGTTCAGTAACCAAAATAGCAGAGGAGCAAAGCGGAGAGCACATCTACAAGGCAGTGAGACCTTTATTAAAGTACATATATCAGATGAAGGAGGAAATTGAAAACAACAACAATATAGTTGAAAGCAAAGACAGAGAAATCAAGCAACTGCAGGAAAAACTGGCCCAACATAATGAATTCTACAAAGAGACTATCAAAGAGCTAATGAAGAACGTCTTGTCGATAAAAGAGGAAATGGGTAAGCCCACTTCCAATTCCTTAAAAGTCCAGGAGTATGAGGAGCAGCTGGAGAAACAAAAGAAGCTAATCGATCAAAAGGAACAACAAATATCCGAAATCAAAAACGAAGTCAACATTTGTGCCAAGAAATTAAAAAGCTACAAAGAGAAACCCGATTACAGTGATTGCACTCCCTTTGGAGATGATCCGGGTATTCATAAGATTAAACCGGATCAGGGAGATCCGTTCGATGTACTTTGTGATAGTGCGACTGCAGGGCCTGGCTGGATGGTTATCCAACAGAAAACCGATAATATGATGAATTTCTATAGGGAGTGGTCAGCATACCGCAATGGTTTTGGAGGCCTTGCAGATGAATTTTTCTTAGGACTGGAAAAGATTCATCGCTTGACTAGCGCCCAGCCCCATGAGCTCTACGTACATGTGGAAGATTCTGATGGTGTCGTCGAATACTACAGATATGAACTATTCACAGTCGCTGGCGAGGACGATCAATACAGACTAACAATCTCCGGTCAGGCTGAGGGCAATGCAACATTTAATATGTTTTATTACCACAACAATCAGCAATTCAGCACCTTCGATCGTGTTAATGTAAACTGTGGCCGCAACTGCGCGCATTCACGCAACATTTATGGAGGCTGGTGGTACAGCTGCGTTTGTGATAAAAGGTAAAAGTTGCTTCAATATTGTCAAAATAATTTATATATAAATACTTTCTTTTCAGCTCTGATGAGGACAAGGCCATGAGTTGGAATCCATGGTACTTATCGGAAAACGTCAAAATGCTTATACGGCCAAAAAACTATACAAAATGAAATAAAATGAACAAGTATATATGTGTGTGAAGAGATAATCGTTTTTTTTTTTTGTTGCCAAATCAGAATTTTCCATTTCCTTTGGCAAATGGAGCTGCTATCCCCTACCCTCTCGCATTCGGCAAGGGTCAAAAAGTGAAAAATTGTTCAAATTGGCAATTGAATTAGAAAAGTAGAAACAAAACAGAAACAGAGACAGAGAAAAAGAGAACAATCAGAGACAACATTTTGAGCAATTGCAATGCAGGCTAAATTCGCCCAAAGTCTCTAGCTCAAGTCGCCTGGAACTTTGAGTTAGGCACCGAAACAGGGGCAAAAATCGAGACAGAGACAGAGACCCACTTGTCAAGCGGCCAAGAGGAGCAAGTGGCAACTGCATTCGAGCAGAGGAGTCCTTGAGTTTGCCATTGGTGGGCAGTGAGAGGGGGGGGGGGGGGGGAGGCACTGGCCACTGATGACACAAGGAAGTTGGCAGCCAGCAAGTCAAGTGATTCAGCGGCATGCGAAAGTTGCAAGCAAAACAAAGACACAGAAAATTGAAAAACCTGCAGTCAGCCCCCTCCGAAGTACACATTGAAAAAAGTTAAACAGCAAGGAATCGGAGAGCCGAAGATTAAATACCCTTGCCTGCATACGGCTAACGTGTATAATACGGTATCTATAAGGGGTATGTTTATATTTCCAATATTTTAAACAGATTGTTTTCGTGAACTATGCAATGACTGAACTTGCTTGTATCAGGTTTACTTCAACGAACTTGCTCTGTCCCTAATAAAATTTGTAGGAAACCTTTGGAAGTCACTCACAATTCCCAGGTATTAGTAGGTAACCATTCCCGTTAGTAATAGGTATTAGTAGGTTCTCCCACTAGCTTTGTGATTTCCCTATCCTATCTACTTAATACTGTATATGCTTTAAGTTTCCTTTGCATCTATTGGAAACGAGAAAATGATGTTGGACAAGCAAAAATATGACGATGCAAGGTAGAACCCAATTTATGACTGATTGTTAGGACTTGTAATGACTGTCAAATATTGGATATTGGATATATGAATAAGATATTTGGAAACCCAAAAAAAAAATTTCTTAACATTAACTCAGTTTTCGAAAGGGGTTTTCCATGAAAATAGCTAATTGATATTGTAAACATATATGGCGTATGGGCTAGTCTGTGAAACTCTCTGGAAGGGTATCCAGATCTATGACAAGTTTTACCATATCGACTCGGCATACATATATATGGTGCATGGGCTAGTCTGTTAAACTCTCTGGAAAGGGTATAAAGGGCTCTAAGAGTGCCCGATTTGTGCCACAAATCATGTAGTAGTTAGATACCCTGTGCGCGCTTGTAACTAGAATTCAATTTAGGTTTATTTTGTGAAAATATTGCCATGGTCCGGCCGTGGTAGTTGCCCGCGACAGTTGCTTGTGCCTATTCCTTGGACCCACTTCTTGGGTCCGGCCCGGCAGGCACGCAGTTGTCGCATTCGCTTTGGAAATGGCATTTCAAAAATTTAATTGCCAATGCTGGCAGCAAGGCCAAGCGGCAGTAGGAGCTGGGACGCAGTTGCTCAACCGCTTGTGTGTCTGTCCAGGGCAAGTTGCAAGTCAGCTCCGGGGTTTTCTGTGTCATGTTTGTCAAATTGAGTAAAGTCCTTTTCCTGCTCGTTGTTGATATTCATGTCCTGTGCCAGTCTCCGGCCCCGTCCCCATAGCCTTCTCCGCCCTAGTCAAAGCCGTAGCTGCCTCGGGCTGCAAGTCCATCAAATGACTTGCGTGTTCATGAGGCGACCCCGAACTGCTCAACCGGAAAATTCTTAGTAGAAAAACAATTTTTCTTCAGCGACATACTAAATGTAATAATGTTTCAAACCGAATCTTGGAATTCCGGCAAAAGCTGCCAGCATCAACGAAATCTAGGAAAAAAAACCAAGAATTTCTTCTTGTCATCAAGGCAAATATATTTATAGTCAATATATGTTATTTAAAATGTATTGACAGCTAGGTTAAACTCTCAATATAAAAGCAAAATTCAAGGAATAATAATTCACCATGTAACGTATAACAAAAAGGCTACAGAAGACATGGCAAAGGCTCAAGGCCACATATTTTTGATGAAACACACAATTTTTTATGATATTAAAAATTAAAAATACATTTGTCGTTGATGTCTTTAAGCCTATTAAAATCACATCAATTTGTTTTCCGCTTGGGAAAAAAAACTAACTGACATCGGAAACGTGCAATACCCATTATATTATTTCAGGAATCGTTAGAATTAGGCATTCGGAAAATATCCCAGAAATTGCTTTGCTCAAAAATAAACAACTTTTTAGATTACTTATAATAAATATTTTCAGGTGTACGATTAAATTTAGCTCGCATTTAGTTTTAAATTATTATTATTAGAACATTTTAATTATTTGATTTAAATTTCGAAAATTAATTTAAATTAAGCCTGGGAGCTGGTTCTAGTCATGAAATAGATTGATAGACTCAATTTTCTTCTCTTTAAACAATCTTAAACAGATTTTAAGTCAGAGTTTTTTTTTCCTCTTAATCAGGATAGGATAAACAAAGGACTTGGGCGTCTGGTATGCCTTTTACAGGCCCCACAACAATAATATGCAAATGTCTGTTGGTTATGGAGCAGAAGGGCGATTGGGTTCTTGGCCTGTTGACGGGCCTGTCCGGCGTCAAAGCATGTGCGTGCAAAATCTATGCGCACAAAATTTATTAACAAAGGCCCCCCGAGGTGCGGTTGAGTGCAGTGTAGAGGGGGCATAGGGGGGCGGGCCTCGCACCTATTGGGGCGTTACATAGACAACATGCTGGAGGCCTCGAGCCCTCGGGACAGACGCAGTGCGGCCTGCTCCGGTTAATGGAATGCTGTGCATGTGTGTGTGTGTGGTGTGTGTGTGTGTGTGTGTGTGGGCCCCGAGGAGTCGTGTAATTTGTGTCACATTTTAATTTTTCACGCCACAAAGGACGCTCCGGAGAATATGGCAACTAACACATATGCATTTATATTTATATGCGTGCTCCTGTTTAAGCAGGACCTCCGCTCGCTGTGATTATGACAATTAAGATTGTGTACAGCCCATGTTTAGTTACTGTGTTTTAGTTTTTTCTTTTCACTTTTTTACAAACTCAAAAGGGTTTATTGTTGAGCTGTATTTAAATACTTGTTTCGTGTTGCCGTGCAATTATTGTTGTACTTTTCACTCGACTTGCGAGCAGCGTTTATGTTATTCTCTGAGCTGAGAGCAGGGCAGCTTTCCAGGGGATATCAAATTATAAGCTGAGCTGCTGAAAGTTCTTTTTGAAGATAATTATGGTTGCAGAAGAAAAAAAAAGAAAGATATTAACGTAATTGTTTTTGCTTTCTTGCAAAGGAATTTAAAAGACATGTTCCAATGTAAGCTACATAAGTAGTTAGACAACTTTTACAAAATATTCTTTTTTAACAAAATTATTTACCAATCTCTATATATAAAATTGTTTGTCCTGACGGACTGACTGACTGACTGACTTATTGACTGACTCAAGTGTGGAAAAATCGCGCAAAACATTTTTTGTTTACCATCCGATCGACCTCAAACTCGATTTCAATGTTCTTTGTTCAAATTTATTTGAGAGGTGTTTCACACTTTTCCAAAAATGTATTCCTCCTTGGCGGAAATGGAAATGGAAAGATTTGGTGGGTGACGTTTCGCGCTTAAATTTATTTTCAAGGATATATTTGAAAAATCAATTGAGACGTGTTTCACATTATTCATAGAATCCAAACTTCTTCGGTAGAAATGGGATTCTAAGATTTTTTGGGCTGTTTTAAGTTTTGTCCGATTAACCTCAAACTTATTTTCCGAGCTCCGAAATTCCACCTACAAAAGTGGAAAATTGGCGGAAAACGCTTGTATGAAATTTATTTATTTATCATTTGCTAACTCATTTTCAAAGCTTTTTGAGAACATTTCTTTTATACGTGACACGGGCAAGGCCGGGCTATACCCGCTAGTTTTTCTATAACTAAGAATTATCTTTTTAAAAATAATTATGGTTACTAAGGAGAAATTATATTTGATTAAGAGAATTTTCACTAATATTTAAAAAAAAGTATGCTAGCTTGTTAAGAAATTTTTACTACAAATAAGAATTCTATTTTTGAAGATAATTTTGGATGCCAATATCTACATATTTAGAGAACTTATACTCATTTTAACTAAGCTGCTTAATATATATATTCTTGCCATTAAATATATATATTCTGACTTTGAAAATGTGCTCAAACATTATCTCGCAACTTTTACTTACACATATATGTATTATAGCTAGGCATTAGTCCTGGCATCGAGTATATATGTATGTAACTTATTTAAGTGTCACAAACAGATTTTTTGAAAGACCAGCTAAAAAGCAGTTTGTTTGCCTGACTGGCCACAAAACATGACAAAATATGTCAGAGCAGCGTTTTAGCCCCTTTGAAATGCTTTTCATCGAAAACATTCGCAGTCTGAATTCTGTAAATTGACAGCTGAAAGTCCTTAAGAGCAAAAACTACAGCATAAACTAAACAGACAAAAGAGACCGCAGGCAACTTTAGTTATGCTCTCTCTCTCTCTCTCCATCTTGTTTTTTTCTTGGATTGAGAAAAGCTCAAGAGATATTTGGAAGTTAAGTTAAAGATAAAATATGGCTCTTAATTTACTTTATTAAAAATGATTATTTCTATTATATTATATACACAGAGAGAAAAACGGCGGCCTAATGACAAGACTTTTCGTATTTGATCCTATACCAAAAAGAAATGCGTAACGTTTTGAGCTCGAATCGAGCTAAAAATACTTGAGTTAAGTTGAATTATAAACTATAATAATAATATACAAATTATTGTATACAATTTAAGAATCTTTTTGAATATGGAATAGGGATATTCAATTTTGTAGTTATTTCTTTGATATTTCTTATTATTTATTCTATAGCTTATATATGTTGTATAGGCATAAGACGTACCTGGAGGATTCCAAGTTGTATATTGATATTTTTATATAAAAAAAAAATATTTAAAATAGCTCGATTAGCAAATAAACATTTTCTTCTGCATTTAATACATCGAAATTTGTAACAGTGTCATTTTAAATTTAGAGGCAAACCCAAATAGATTTGTCATTAATCTTTGAGTTGGGCATATGCAGTGCGCTCCAGTTTTATAATTAGATTCTCTTAAATCCCTACCACTCCCCCCACCCCTCCCTTCCCAGCACCTCTCCAACCCCTCCACTTAACAGTTCATTTTTCTACGACCTGCCACCCAATTAGCAGCTGCTTAGCTAATTTCAAGGCGAACGCCAACTGTAAAACAACACACAGCACTAACAGAGCAGATATAACACACACACACACACACACACAGAGAGAGACACTCACACAGGCACACGCATGAGAACTCACCTCCAGCATTGGATGGCTCCCAGTTGGTTGGGCGAAACACGAACGTATCGCACGGCAGCGGCGACACTTTGGACGCCCCCCGCCTGTTCCATGCTCATTAGGCTCCAACCCGGAGGCAACTTTCAATTTTATTTCGGCGGATCATTTGCCGGCTGACAAAGGGGAGTTGGCGTTGCAGATGCGAATGCGGATGCGGATTCGGATGCAGTTGTTGTTGCTTTTTTTTTTTGTTAACGTTTCGATTTGGACGAGCTTTCGTGTCGTTTGCTACACAAAAAGGAAATACAAATAACATAAGCTGCGACTCGTGTTGTTGTTGTTGTTGTTTTTGTTTCTGCTGTTGCCAGAGCAACTCCAGGGCGCAAATAAACTTGCAAAAGAAAATATAACTAAAAGTCAGGTGTGAGCACAACGCGCGACCCTTCTGCTCCACCTCTTTAACCGACAATGTGCGCGCACACACATAGCCGAAAAGTGTAAATAGAATAGTAAAAAGTGTAGGGAAATGAAACAGGAAAAAGTGGCAACAGCAACAACAACAACGGCAGCAGCAGCAGCACACACGCACGCGGAATAGGAAGAAGGAAAATCGAATGAGCCGCTGGGCGAGCGGGCGTACGAGATGGATAGAATAGAACAAGAGAAAGAGAGAGAGAGAGAGAGCGCACAAGAGCCTGTGGCCGAGCGGCAGTGTCTGTGCTGGGCAATAACAAAACTTTTGCCTTGCCCTTTTACTGTTTTGTTTGTTTCACTTTTCACAGGATGCGGCATTTTGAATACTTATTCGACTTATGCACACACAAATTTCAATTTTTCAATTGCGACACACGGAAACACGCACCGTTAGATTGAAAGGAGCTGTTGCTAAACACTTTGGCTATTTTTTTTTAGGGGCAACACTCCAAACGCACTTGGCGTTGTCCAGGCGCGCCAACAGCTAGGCTAGAACAAACTGTAGTTATGATGCGACGGCAACGAAACGCTCCCGTGAACGTCCGCACGTACTGTTATTCCGATTGCGACTGAAAGCAAGCAAAACGAAACGGAAACAAGAAACCGCTGCACGACAGCAGTTGATACCCATTTACACTGTGCGTCAGAAATTTATGTTTGCATGAAATATTTTTGTCTTTTATATTTTATAAGCAGTTGCAACAAATGCATACAAGTTTACAACAAAAATACAATTTTTATAGCCCGGTTACTATTTAACACAGAGCACAAAATGCCAGCTGAAATTACGGCTTAATATTATGCGAGTCGGCGTATGTATGTAGGTGTATACTGTAAAAGGCTTGCAGCAGCTGTGCTTACATTAACAGCGCGTAACAAGCAGTGCACTGCTTTATGTTTTCAGCCAATGTTAATTTACAGTGCGCGCAATTTGAAATCATAAAAATGTAATATATATGAAACATTCATAAAAAAGCTACAAAATTTATATAAAATATAACTGACTGCAATCTATATAAAAGGAGATACCGACATACATAGACACGTACACACATGAATATAAGTAATTATCTAAAAATTGATTTTATTTGTATGTATTATTTTTTTGTTTGTTTTTATTTAGAGAGTTTAAAACCATTCGAAAAAATTACAGTATACTTAATGCTTATAAAGTTTTGTGTCAGACCCTGGAATTTCGAGACAAACTTAGTGTTTAGTCAGGATGTTTGGCAAACAAATCGCAAACTAAGGCAATAGACCACATTCCAAGACTAAACTAGATTTGATTCGAGTTGCTTATATGCTCTCCTATTTTAGGCTAAATATAAATTCTTTGGAGTGGCCTTTATGGCAGTAAAAAAAATAGTTTTCAGTAGCCACGCCTACGGATCGATAAACGAAATCATAATATAACGTGTGCCCTTGGTCACCAGCAAGCCCTCATGGAAGTGGGTCAATCGGCCGGGATGCATTAGCATCCAGCCCTTCTTAGTCTCCGTAACGGAGCAATTATAACGCAAAAAGTGACAGCCGCCGCCCTCATAGTCGATGCCCACACTGTTCATGGCAATGTTGATCGTATAGGTGGATGAGTCGTGATGCGGGCGCAGGAAAGGCTGCTCATCGGGCCGGTAACGCACCATGAAGTTCATCAGCGAGCGTGGCGGCTGCAGAGCAATAAAAAAAACACATTAGCTAGGATAACAAGGACAGCTGCCAGCTCAGGATCCACTTACATTATGGTAATAGCCAGTAAAGACGCGCTCCTGGAGTGGTCGCACAAATATCTGCAGAAACTTCAGATAAAGCGTATCGAGTCCCACCTGGCGCATATGTATGTCACGCGTGGGCACTGCCTCGTAGCCGCCCTCGAGACGATTGTCGTTGTTGCTGCCGTCGGACCATTTGCCATAGGCCTCCATGATGGCCACCAAATCATCACAGAAGGCATCGGACACAATCTGGAACCAGAAGACATCCGGACACGGCTGTGGTATGACCATGCTCTCGTTCAGCTGGGTCGAATAATTTTGATGGATGTACTTCAAGGTCCAGTCATACTGATTGCTGAACAACGTATAGAAATCGGGACGCACAACGGTGGTATTGAAATTATCCGCATTGATCAAATGTCCATGGTAGCGCTGATTGCTGACGTACATGAAGATGCCCTAAATGAAAGGATCAACTATTAATAGATATCAAAATTGTATAACAAGCAGCGCATGGAAATCGTTTATGATACACAGAAATATGAAAAAAAGTAGGGAAAAAGTGTCAGGTGTGCTCCAATATGATTATGAGATTAAATACATACAGAAAAACGGACAAACGTGACTCGATCAACCCAGCTCGTCAAGCTGATCAAGAATATATCTACTTTATTCAGAGATGCTTCCTTTAACAACTTAATCAAATTCAATGAAAATGATTTGGGCAGAGATTTCTTGGAAATATTGTGAAAAATGAAAAATAATACCCTTAGTTTTGCTCTTGATTACATTTTGTGCTTTCTTAGCTTGGCAACAAAATTCGTTTTACAAGAACCAAAAATTAAATAGAATTATTAATTAAATCAAGAGCTTGATTTCTTAAAATGAATTATTTGGTTCTTGCTTTAAATATTAATTGATGTTAAATTGTACTAAATTAAACTAACAAACAATTCTAGAGAAGTTAGAAAGATATATATTTAGACTAACTAGTTAACTGCAACTAAGAACTGAAATGCCAAGTATTAAAGACTTTTCTTTAATGTTAGCTAACTGAAAAATGTGATAAAATAAACATAATTTTGAATATATTTTGTAATATTATCTCATTACTTACCGCGTTCCTTAGTGATTCGCACATGGCCATATCAGGGTCGAAATCGTTGTGCTCAAACTTGATGGCATCGAAGGCGCTATGCTTGATCAGATAAATGGTCGTCACATGTGGCACATTGAACATGCCGCTAAAAAGAGACAAAATTTATAAATATTTATATATTTGTATATGTACAAATGCATGACGCACAGTTTATTTTGTAGATTCGCAACAATGTTGTGGAAATGGAAAGTAGTTAACTCTCGGTCAGCGGAACGCACACAGAGTTAGGTCGCGATTAAATTCAATCAGTATGAGAGACAAACATCGCCTGTCCGGGGCTACCTCTAGGCGCAGTATGCACAAAACATTCTACGCTGACGGACGGAAATAGCCGCATCTCTGTCGGATCGCAACAAAAATGCCCAGTCCCTGGTTTAACCAGTGCAAGATCAAAGCGTTTGCTCTGCTCTGGCTGCTGCTGTCGCTGCTGCTCTTGAGCGATCTCTGCCCTGTGCAGGGCCAAAGTGAGTGATCAACTAATCTATAAATCTAATTTCTTATAGCTAACTCTTTAATTCGAATAGGAAGCACCGGCGGTCGCAATGTGCTGCGTCGCAATTACACGGGCAAAAAACCTGTTGTCATTCAGCACAGATCCCAGGATGCTGTCAACTATTACGATCACGAGAACGTAAGTTTCAAATGACAACAAACTAATAATAATCCCATTAAAATGCCTGGCTCTTATGCAGGGTGCCAAGATCATAAAGTCATCGCACTTTGAGCTCGACTATACATTGGGGCGCAAGATTACCTTCTTTTGCATGGCGCAAGGTGAGTCGATTGTCAGAATTCCATCCTGCCTAATACTCGCCCCTTACAGGCAATCCACGTCCGACTATCACCTGGTTTAAAGACGGCGCGGAACTGTATCAGCATCGATTCTTTCAGGTAAGTACATTTGCGACAAAAATGCATTTGCATTTGCAGAAAATCGAACAGTGTGCTCTATAGGTGCACGAATCGCATCCAGAACCAGAGATCATTAAATCAAAAATGGAAATTGATCCAACCACACAAATGGATGCGGGTATGAAATACTTTAATAAGCTTACCAAAGATATATGTCTACTATGGCCATCTCTAATTGCAGGCTATTACGAATGCCAGGCGGATAATATATATGCTATTGATCGTCGGGGCTTCCGCACGGACTATGCCATGGTCAATTTTTAACATTCTTCATTCAACTCTGATATATACTGAACTACATTTCGTAATAAACACAATATAATTTTTAACTTCAAGTTCGTAGTTGTTGTCTTGTCTGTTTTTAAATTGAAAATATTTTTGTTCTCGACCTTTTGTCTGGTTGTGTGCGTAACCGACAAATTGTCTCAATTACTTGATTTAGACAATTTTTTTGCATTTATTTTATTAAAATGTATATTAAAATGTGTGCAAGCCAAACCAAAACAAACTGTGGCATATTTACATGCAAATAAGCACAGTTGGAGGGGTCTATTGCCTTTGCACAGTGGCACGAAGCAGTCAAGAATAATATACCAAAAATAACTGGGGAGTTTTTGGAAGATAATGGAATGGGGTTAATAATTGGGAATATTTTTATATTGTCTTCACTTGTTATTCAAACCTAACCCACTTGTTGAAATTCACAGTAAAAGAATTTCCGATGGTTTGCTGTTAGAGCTAACATTAAATTAACAGCGTATGGGTTTAACATAAATGTTAAATAAAGCTGTTATTATAACCTGTTAGTAACAGCGTATTATGCATGCATAACATTGATATAATTGCCTTTAATAAAATGAAACCAGAGGCATACTAATATTTTCAGTTTCACACAACTTGCCCCACTGTGCGCCCTGCAACAAACATATGGCGCACATATCCAACGGAACCCGAAGCGAAAAAGGTGGCCTTTGGACAGACTGTTGCGGAGATACGCAGATTCAGCGAGTGCGCAAATCAAATCAAATGAAATTGAGTAAAATAAGGCAACCTGTGGAGCTGCATATCAAGAGAATCAAAACCGAATCCCGAGCCATCACTCTGGTGGTTTAAATGCGAGACCCAAGCAACGCCAATTGTGGCAAATTAGATGTGCCAGAGCAAGCGAAATGCCGCGACAGCTGCTGCCGCTGGTTTAGTCGCCGCGCAGACGAGATTCGCACAGCAACGTTGGATTTTAGTTTAATGCTGAGCATAGGATGCAAGTGAAGTGCCTGCTGATCTGCATTGGCCTAGGCCTGGGCCTGCTTATGCTAACCGCACCGTTTACCGAGGCGCGCCGTGGACGCGGACGTGGACGCACCAAGTCGAGGGTGCAAATTGGTCTGCCCATAACGGGCAAGTACCGCGATCCCGAATCGGATCAATACTATAACAACAACAATGTAAGCTAAGATGAGGCTACAGATCCCATCAATAATATTAACTAATCGTTTTGGTGATAGGGCGCAAAAATCTTGCAGGCCTCGCACTTTGATCTCGAGTACGTGCTGGGCCACAAGATTGCTTTTCTGTGCGTGGCCAAGGGCAATCCACGTCCGCACATAACCTGGTACAAAGACGGCGCCGAGATCTATCAGCATCTATATATGCATGTACACGAGTGGACCATTGGCGATGATCGCGTCAAATCGAAGATCGAAATCGATCCGGCCACCCAAATGGATGCCGGCCTGTACGAGTGCACGGCCGACAACATGTACTCCATTGACAGGCGCAGCTTCAAGACCGATTTCTCCATTGCCTTCGATTAGATCGCTGGCGGTGCCACACGTTTCCTTGCCCGTATACGTATAAGCAATAAAGTTAATCCTAATTAAATCGTAATAACTCCACCTGGAGCTTTTCACTTACATCAGATCCCGCTTCACAATGTCCACATAGTCGTGGGAGCGTGCATAGTAACCGTTCTCGGAGAGCGCACCCCAAAAGTTGCTCCACAGTTCGTGGTACTTGGAGAACACCGGCGCCACAAATTGCCTGCATTGGGTAACATTTATATATTTAGTTGGACAATCCAGGTCTATTGAATTTGAAGACCTACTTGTTCATCCTCAGCAGCTCTCGGAGCACTTCGCTGTCATCGATGTGCGCATCGGCGTCCACAAAGAAAATGTAGTCGCTGTGCTGCAGCTTTGCTTTGTCGCTGCAAGTAGAAAAGGGAGTACAAGTTAGTCAGCTATTTAAATATCAATTTACATAAAACAGAACAGAAGGAGGCACGCCGAAGATTTAATACCCTTGCAGACCAACCTCATAATGTTCTTTTTGAATTGCCCGAATCTAAGAAGCACAGGGAAAATAGTTCATTTTAGACCGATCATCCTATGGCAGCTATATGATATAGTAGTCCGATGTGAATTAGATTTTGCACAAATGTAGGGAACACAGTGAAACACATAACTGCCGAGGTTCGTCAAGTTATCTAAATAAACAAAAAAGTTTTTCATACAAGAACCTACTTTTTGACCGATCTTTCCTATGGCAGCTATATAATATAGTAGTTTGGTTCAATCGGCTCCGACATATGTACTGCGTGCAACAGAAAGAGGGACGTGGGCAAAGTCTCATGACGATAGCTTTAAAACTGAGAGACTTGTTTGCATGGAAACAGATAGATGGACATTGCTAAGTATATTGACTCGGCTGTTGATACAGATCAAGAATATATTTACTTCATGGGGACAGAGACACTCTCGCGACTAAGTAAGAATCGCTTCCATTCCCTCTCTCACTCCCTTCAAATATTGCCTTCCTATGCGATTTTCATGAATTCTTGTACAGTGAGAGTACTAATAGCGACTGAGTATGAGGGATAGAAATCAATCAAACAATTCTTTATAATACAAAATCATATACGTAAATATTGGAAACACTATCATAAGCATCTGACTATGTATTCCATATAATAACTTTGGGAGTTATTTGGGAATCAATGAAAATAACAGAGGTTTCTTAATTAATAAGTAGTTTTCGAAGAAAAATGGACAGCAATTTTTTCAAAAAAAATTGACTACTTCGCAATGATTCAACGATTTGTTCATCTACTTAACTTAAGCACATAAATAGTTAGTTACTCCTAAGGTACTCACAGCGCCAACTGTCTGCCTTGACGTTCGTCCAGTTCATCCACGGATAGCACAAACTTGGCGCTGGCATAGTTCTTGCCTTGGTTATTCGCATAGGACTCAACAGCATCGTCGTGCAGCGCGACGTTGCTGTACATAAAGAGATGCAGCGATTCTTTGGGATAGTTGAGCTTCTCAATGCTGGCCAGGAACATATCGAAGAAGGGCACAGCTTGGGGAACCATCACAGCCAACGTAATGATAGGTAGATTTTGTTCCTGCAAAACAAAAAGGCACATGCTAAAATGACCTACTTAAATTGTAAGTAAATTCCACTCACATCCAACTCAAGGGGATATTCCAAACAGAAGGTGCAGACGCCACTGAAGGTCTTGGCTAGATAGTTGCCATAGGCATTCAAATCGACCTTGCTCAGTCCATTGCCATGGATAATCAGGGGCGTGGTCATGAAGTCAATGTTTTGCAGAGTGCCCTGATTTGAGTCCAGGTCCACCTTTAGCTTAACATCATTTTTGGCACCGTGTAGATTCTGAAACAGACGAGACTGCGTATCCAGTTTCATGCCCAGCTTGGCACGCTTCGCCTCGTCCAGGAACACTTTAGTAAAGTACAACTGATCATCGCCAGTATTCTCGATGGCCTCCTCCAGCAGCGCATACACCTGTGGTGCATAGCCAATGAATGCACCCGAGTTTAAAAAACGTGAGGCTTTGCCCTCCACCTCGGGATATTGATCTGCCAGACTCTTGTCCGGCCAGCAGTATTTTTCGGCCGAGAAGAGCAGCTTGGCGCCAGACTCTTTGAATTTTTCCAAAATCTCGTCGAGCGCAGCTGTGAAGATGACATCGTAGCTATAGAAGATTTCTGGTTAGAAGCAGCTAAAAATAAATTAGGGCATACCTATTTTACCTGTCTGTAAACAATATTATGGTATCCTCTTCATCCTTCAAGTCTTCAATTGCTTTTCGCAGCAGATTGATTTTAAAACCGCCGCCAGCGCTTTTCATGTCGCCACCTTGCCATTCTTCGCCCATGCCCAGCGTGGTCACCTGTTATACAACAGAAATTGATTAATCTTATGGAATATGTTCATTTAATTACTTATAATTTATATATTACAGTTGATACATAAATAATACTAAGCAAATCCACAATGAGAGCAGATCCGAGTGTGGACATACACAGCTATATAAAAAATGGAAGCCAAATAACATGTCCCTGGCATAAACATTTTTGTTAAAGTTAAATAAATGTATATTTCTCAAATGTTAACGCTTTGTTGTTAAAGCTTCTGTAATCTTTTGAATGTTAAACTGCAACTGTTACTCTATTACATTAAATGTAAAATCTACGTAATTAGCAGCAACTGTTAGCTATCTGACGCCTTTAAATATCACTGATATATTTTAAAAGTAAAGCTATCATGTGCTCTTGTTATACATTTAAGGTAAACACAAGCAAGCCAGAATTACAATTGCCCATTATGTACACATAAATTTTAATTAACAGTGACAATGTACAGTATGTAACAACAGTGAATAACAGCAAGTCACGACTGCTAAAATGTTTATAAATTACATTTGTAGCAAGATATCTCGTAATTCAATTGTCTTTAGAATTGTTCAAACAAATTTGAGCCGCCTGCCTAAATGGCTAAGTTCACACAATTCTTGAGAAGCAAATTATAAAAAAAGTGATCATTATGAAATATAAGCAATGTTTCGAGAACGAAAGCCGGCTAACCGGCTTATCAGCAAGTTTTTTCAAATGTTGAACATGAGGAGCTGACTTTGCGACACATTCACACAGAATGGAAGATGAATTTACATAAGGAAACCGGCGTTGCTGTTGGTGATAAGCAAATATCAAACAATACATAAACGGCATGTTGCAAGCTATCAATGGAACAATCGGGAACTGAATTGAGCTAATTACCCCGGCGGCCTACGTGATTAACTACAACAAAGTGTAGATCGAGACGAACACATGTGTGCACTATATATACATGTATATATATATATATAGCTGGTGCCCCATTAGGTTCAGCCAATCTGTGTGTAACACATCAGAGCAGCAGAGTCATCTGGACGCCAGTGCCGGATGCTTGGACATATGTCCGTGCATGTATACACATACATATGCATACACCCAGATACAGAAGCGCTACAAAACAAATTCATAAAAGTGTGCCGCAAAACCGAGATATGTCGGCAAGAGTTCGTCTTCGGGCCAATCATTTGTTTATGCCAGCATTTAGTATATGTATATATATGTATATATGTACATAGCTTTACATAGATAGGCAGCTAATCAAATTTCTGAATTTCTTCACATGGAACTCAATTAGAATTCTATTCAGCAGACGCCTCGACTGTTCTAAAGTTTTTAATATGAATGCACTGAACTCTGTTGTTGACAAATTCCTATAATTTCTTCTGGCTTTTCTATTGTTATTTATTTAATACAGCGTAATATATAACTATATATAATAAGGCATGCGCTATTCTATTTCAACTCTTTCTCTTTTATTTAATTATTCGTGTCTCAAATTTACTTTTGAAATTTGAGTTGTTCTTGGAAACACTACATCCATCTTTCATTCCAAACAGTTGTTACCCAAATAAACAAAACTATTTATAAAAAGGCAATAACTCTATATCCCAAAATCGGTTTGGTAATAAACATGAAAATTCATCAAATATGATAAACGCATATGTCAATGTTTTTTCATGAAAATGGTTTCATAACATATCAAGTTTTGCTAAATTTATGTTTAATCATATAATAAATTATTGTAGATGAAACAACAAAAGCGCAACTCAATAGAATACTTTAGCTCTAATGGAAAAGATTTGAATAGAAACTCTTTCGCATCATCTTTAGATCTCTTTTCAATAACATTTTGACAATTCTTCTGTTTTCGATAGCTCTTAAAAAGAATTTGCATACCAAATTTTAAGCATAGCAAAAGACCATAAATTTGTTATTCCAGACTGTCGAAATTTAACGGGTTTCAGTTTTAATTTAATTAAGAACTTACCTCAATATCGTAGACATTGGCAGATCGAACATAACGGCGATATCCATCAGTCGGTTCAGTGGCCACAGTAAAGACTTTGATTTTCTCTGAAAAAGATGAAAAAAGGTGCCAAATAAATAAATGAAACTATTTGTATGCCCCATTTGGTACAAAATAGATCCAGTTAAATGGAATTTGAATTTTTCATTGGATTGTTTAATAAATCTAGATTCAAATTTCTTTTGTCTAGTTTAACTGTCAAACAAAATGTTCGTTCGCAATAAATAAATAGTTATTGAGAATCGAATTTTCAACTTCTGCTTAAACAATAAACTTAGGCTTCAACATATTAGATACATAAATACATATATGTACACACATACATATGCAGATACATATTGGTAACCCATTTTTGTGTCAGGGACACAGAACCTGGAAAATGTCCTAGTTGAAAGCAGAAAGTTATTACTGAAAAATATTTTGCATGATTAAAGCTAATAAACGAAATGTTCTATAATAAAATAAACATATTTATAGCCGAGCACATCTTTAAGTACTTTGAGTGTTAACGACCGCATGAATATTACAAGTAAGCGGAAGGAGCAACGGAATGTAAACAAAAAGCACAGCCTCACACACGCACACAGATGCACATGCATAGACAGATGCATGCGTGTGTGTGGGTGAATGCTACAGATGAATGCAATTTAATGTGTTTGTTGTTGTC